CTTTTTCTTATAGTTGCGCCAAAGATGCACGACAAGGACGAGCAGAAACATTTGAAAAGTGCAATTTTGACGTCACTGGAGCACATGAAGAACTTACGGACAAGCATATTGGCCTGACTGTAAAGCTTACACTGCTGCCTATACATGTCTCTGTCATCTGAGAGGTCACTGCTGACATAATGTCTAAGATATTTAATCTCATCTGTTAGTTGGACTCTTGCACAGAGAGAAAATAGGAAAAGATTTATTTATTTTTTTGTCCTTTTTTATTTTTTACAATCGTAATATGACTTTTCAAAGCAAGACATGTTAGAATTTTGTTTCCTTATCATAAACCTGGAGTTATGTTTTGTTTAATTCACACATGTTTGAGTGATTCTGCATTATTTGGCTGTCAAAATGGTCTGTTTCACCTTGTGATGTCACAAAGCAGAGAGATGAACAATTCCAAAACTGAAATTATCCAAATGAGCACTTTCTGTATTACCACATGACATCACAAGGTGGAGCAGGGTGTTTTCTGTTTGAAAGTTTGAAAGAAAACATGTGTGAATGAAACAAAACACAACTTGATGATACAATATTATAACAAAGATCAGAAAATAGCGTAATATGGGCCCTTTAACCAGGTTGTCATTTTGGGTTTTTTTTGTCTTGGATTCAGAACTACTTCGGTGGGTAGAATCATTGCTTTGATGTTTGATGTTCACTGAGCTGTTCACTAAGTTTTTTTCTTTTTTATAGTGGGAATGTTCCACAGTATTGCATTAAATTGAAATCTATCTCCATGGAGACAATCACCATAGACACAGGCTTAACACACACACTCACTCTATTTTACTATAATAACTGCATGTTTTATGTACAGGCTCACTATATACACCCTCACTATTATCTTTCATTGTACAAAACAGAATATTAATTTCAGTACAAATGTTTCAAAAATCCCACTGGTGGTTTTCAAAATCTATAATAATCCCAGATGGTGGCAAGAGACAAAGTTCCCAAAGTTAATTACGTTGTACTTTGTTTTGTAATATCCAAAAGATAAGTCATAAATGTTGAACCTGGTTGTTTCTATTACTGACAAGACCCAAAAACTACAAAAAATCATCATTTTGACAATATTTTATCTGCCCCTCATCTGTATTAAAGGTGCATTGTGTAACTTTTCTGGTGGAGGGTCTGTCAAATGCTTTTCTCTGTGGAGATGTTATTACTTTGTCTCGAATGTTTCACAGTATAGTATTAAAAAATCTTTCTATCTTCATGGAGACCAAACCAGACCAAGTTACAGGTCAGATCTGTGGAGAGGCAAGCCTGCTACCAATCAGAATTCCTATTTTTCTAGGTAATTTTGAGGCATAAAACTACTGTAATTGAATAAATGTAAGGTAGAGCTGTTTAATGTCATACTGTGGAACATTTCAGGCAGAGCAATGACATCTCCAAAAGAAACAAGCAAGTGACAGACTCTCCACTAGAAAAGTAAAGCAGTGCACCTTTAAATAATATTGGCCTGAAGAACATTGTGATGTCACTTCAAACCGAGCAGCGGTGATGCAGTGGCCTTTTCTAAGAGGAGTGAGTCAGCTGGACAACAAACGCAAGAAAAGTTTCTGTTCAGTTTATAAAAAATAAAAACAGCTTCACACACAGTGGTCCAAAAATCAGCAGTGATGGTGCCAGACATCTTCAATTACAGTATATCCAGTCAGGATCAGTGAAGTCATGTGAAGTCATACAACATGAGTCACCTCCAGTTAAGGCTCCATTGATTTGCTCTGTTCCCGGGTGACTTTGGTTTATATCTGCTGACATTTCTCCACAATTTATTTCGCTTCAGCCTGATTCACACAGAGAGGACAGAGGTTCTCTCAGTGGCTTTAAACTATCATATAATGTAATCTGAAATATGATGTCACAGATATCAAGGCCAAAACAATCGTGATTAAAACCTGCTTCTAAATATACTCAAATGACATTTAAAGGTGCACTGTGTAACATTTCTCGACGAGAGTCTGCCACCTGCTGATGTCTCCATGGAAATATTATTGCTTTGTATAGAATGTTCCACAGTGTAGATAAAACCGACCTGTCATGAGGGAGACAAGCAGGTTACAGCACTACGTTACATTACAGGCCAGATCTGTGGAGAGTCGCCTCTATTCACTAGCCTGATTCATCAGCCGGTTTCACTTAGTGGAAACCGTTTGACCTCGCAGCATTAGGATTTGTTTGCTTGACGCTAGGCTGGTACTTTTTTTATGAAACCAATCGCTGCTATTTTGCCAAATCCCATAGGAAGAAAGGCAATAACTTCTTTCCCCTTGATAAAATTCACCATTCTCTTTGTGCCTGTTTTTAATCCATGATCTCAGGAATTGTTGCCAACACAGAATGTATGTCTTTGCTGATTGGCTGGTGACTCAAGAACCCAGACACAAGTGTGAGTCCGGGTTCTTGCAAACTGTCTAGTGTATTCCAATTCCTGACCTAGATGCTGGAGAGAAATTAAATTGAGCGGAGGCGCTAGGTGGCGCCAGCCTGGCTACCTATTCACAGAAGGAATTATTGTATTTTTGAGCAACAGAAACACTCGTATTCAATAAATGCTAGATGGAAATGTTTAAAGTCATATCATGGAACATTCCAGACAAAGCAATAACATCTCCATGGAGACAAGCAGTTGGCAGACTTTCCACCAGAAAAGTTGCACAGTGCACTTTTAAGTTAAGAAGATAAGCATCATAATCATATAGAAGCTATCTATGATGGTATTTTGAGAAAGATGAAAAATTAGGATTGTTACCATGGTGATTAACAATTTTAAACTAAATCTTTTGACAGACTGCAGAATGGTGAAATCAGTTTTCATTACTAGTTGTGCATAAACGGCATCTAAATATTTTGAATATGAAAAAGTCCTGAAAACATAACAGGAAGTTTAAATCTCAGATCATTTTGTAGAAATGTTGGTTGATTTGTGTAGATTGAGAGCTGTGGAGGGAGGTAAAATGGCTGTGTAATTGCTCATTTAAATGAGAGGACTTCCTGCTGCCTCCCTCCTCCCCTCCTGTTCACTCTCATCAGACTTGACAACACAATTAAAAGTCATTTGTAATACTCCGAAACACGAACTGCATTTTTCTCAGTCCCCATGTGTCTCTCTGTGTAAGCTGGTTGATGCAGTATTTTTAAAGGTCTGACTCTTGTGAGCTTTAAGCCATGTTATAATGTTGTTTCCTGCTCAAAAATATACCTGGAGCTGTGTTTTCATTCACATATTTGCACATTTGCTAATTTGCCTGCATCTCCAAAGCACAAAATACTATGTTCCAGGCTCTGTGATATCATGTAGTGATAGTTTTCAAACTAACAGCTCCTTTTACCTTTAGTTCAGTAGAGATAGGCAATTCCAGGGCTAAAGTTATTAAGATGATTACTACCACCTAAATGGGAAAGGTTAAATATGTGAGTGAAACAAAATACAACTCCAGGTATGTTTGTGATAAGCAAACAAAGTTAGAACAGAGATCTGAAAATAGAGTACTATAGATATAGATCAGTCAGCTCAGTATATAGTGATTTCATATCCTCTCTTTTGGTTTTGAAGAGGGAAAGGAAACATTTTGAGACAATGTGGTAAGGTAGCTTTCATATTGAGATTTTACAGTACATCCTTTGAAGATGTCTGAATGAAACAGCACAACTCCAGGTATGTTTTTGAGAAGGTACCAACATTATAACATGACTTAAAGGTCACAAGGGTCAATTTTGTGTGAATAGTATAGGACCTTTAAGGATGAAGTGTATATAAGATGCTAACTTTGTGCTTCCAGTCCATGTGAGTACAACATACAGCTTAGTAAATTTGCAGAGGTTTTTATTGAAGGCTTTTGATTTTGGTTTCTAGGTTTTGTTTCTGGTGGTCTGGTGGGATGCTGAGATCTAACTATAGGCACGGATGTTGAAAGGTTGAAACATTTGCGGAGGATAGTAACAAGTAAGTTACTCCAGAATGTGGTAAAGGCCTGGTGTGTTACAGAACATGTGCCAGTCTATTTTCCACCAAAAAGACTTCAGTCATTCTGACCACAGCCTTGTACGACACAGACCCAGTACAGGATGTTCAGCGCCTGCTCTGTCATTATGAGAGCAGCGCGGGAGGTGTGGTGAACACAGCCAAGAGAGCTCCAAGCAGACCAAAGCAGACCACAGCAGACCAAAGCAGACCAAAGCACGGCAACATCTGTTCTCCTCGTGCGAAAATACAATGGCACACTGCCCTCTGCGGGATATGAGTGTTACTGCAAGGAAGTAAAGCCACAGTGCACGTCATGAGTGTACTTTTACTGTTAACATAATTTTAAAAAGTAGTTTTATGTTTTTTTTCTCTTTCAGGACTCAAAAAAAATAATAAAAAAAAAAAAAAAAAATGGAAAAATGAATGCATTACTTTATGTCAAAAGTACAGACTGTATGTATTTACTGTCTGTCAAAAGATATTAAAAACCAGAATATGACTGACTTTTCAATATTACGGTGTACAGCAGTCAAGAAGAGAAAAAAGAAAAGAGAAAAAGAAAAGTCCTTTATTACAGCATGTACAGACAACATGTTTTAACACTAATATGTCTTCATCCGACCACACTGAATGTTAGTGTTGAAAGTTAATTTTGAAACGCTTTGGCTGTCCTTGCTGTAATAATGGAGTTTTCTTTTTTTTTTTTTTTAATACTACTGAGTGCCTCGGATTTCTTCTTTCAGGGCTTGCCATGGCAAATCAGATGCACGGATACAGTTTAGTACAGTTTAAGTAGATACAAATCTGGAAGTAGGACTACCTTTAGCTTGGGGTTGTGCCTGTTGTGCGTGCTTTAAAAGAATGGAGAAAAGTAGTGTGCCCAAAAGAAACTCAATCAGAACTCTGCACAGGGACCTTCTTGTTGTGAGGCCGTGATGATAGGGCAAAACTCAACTACTGTGCCACTTGGGACTGAGGTTGAGACTGAATTTATTTTTTATTCAAGTCCAAAAATTTAAAACACTGTACAATTTTAAATGCTCATTGTATATAAGACACAGGAAAATATTTTTATCAACACTTACAGACATAATACTTCACAATTCAGAGACATACTTATTTTGAGAGTGCAAACGACTACAAGTACAAGGTCCTTCAGTAGAAGTTAGCCTGGTAAGCTAGGAGATACCCATCATTGTACATGTAGATCTTTTTGTCTGTGGGATTATAGCTCAAACTAGCCACGCCCTTTGCTACTTTTTCCATGGGCAGTGCCAGAGTGCTGTCCTCTCGTCCTGTCATTGTATCAAAAGCGTAGAACACCTCTTCTCTGAAGTCACTGTTGTACCTGGTCACATACAGCACACCACACACCATGAATGCATTGGTCACTGCCTTCTTAAACACCCTCGTCTCCCATGTCTGGGTTACATTCAGCGTCTCGTCCTCACTGTTCCATATGATCCGACTAACTACAATGTTGCCATGGTTACCCATTGTTGCATAGATAGCCCACAGACCAGTTTCATCGGCCTCTACATCTATGTCACTGTGGGTGCGGCAGTCATAGTAACAGTATGGGAACTTGTTATTATTGCCAACCCCAGTACCAGGGAGTTTCACCCTTTTTACTTCATTTTTGGTCAGATCATATCGACAAATCTCTTCTGATTTGTAGCAGTGGTAGTAAAGTCCATTGCCATACAGCACAGCACTGGGACCCTCTATGGAGTTGACATGAGTGTGGGAAGGGGCAAAGTTGTAGTCCTTGTGGTTGGTGGAGGTCATAAAGTTGTCATAGTTTGGATAGACTCGTAGAACATTGCCCCAGATGTGGCTGCTGAGGAGGGGCAGCACCCAGTATTTGCCCTGCTCCTCTTCTTCTTCAGTGTTCTGAAGAGCCTGTTTACCCCATGAGCCTGAAATTATGCCCTTTCCGTACGGGCTGACCTTCGTCGCCACTGGTTCACTGATACTCTTGATCAAACCTTTGCTGCAGTACTGATGCTGGCCTGAAAACCACACAATGCAGTTAGGGACACACAAACAACAATTCAAACAGATACATAATGTTAAGTTCACAGTTCCTATTGTTCTAACCTGGCTCACAGCAGGTTGACATGTGTGTCACTCTGAAATGTGAACTCACAAATATTGAGAGAATCCGCCTTACTGCAGAAGATTACTATTCTTCAGTGTTTGCACTTAATTTTATAATATATCAACTATCAAGGCATTAAACTCTTGTGTCTGGTTAGTGGGGTACAAATGATGGACAATGCAGTTCACTGAATAAGACTTATCATGTCATGTCATGTTCATAGTAACTTCCATAAATGTGTAATTGAAGTAGCTCACCTCTGTAGTCACTGGGAATAGATTTACAGGTCTCAGCTCTGTTCTTCAGGTAGCGCACTTGCTCTTTCAGTGATGTCAGGTTAATGTCATCAGTCATCTTCATTCGGTCCACATTTTGACGAAGTTTCACAACCTAAAAGAATCGTCACAATACAATTTTTTAATTCATAAAAATGGAAAACCTGTTTGTACCTTAACCTGTGTATGTACTAGGCATTTGCCTTAACATTTGTAATTCATATTATTATTATTATTATTTATATCACAATGTAAACTGATGAATGAATACCTCTTTTGTGAGTGCCTGTGTGTGTTCATTGTTGAGCTGGCTGTGCACTGCGCTCACGTGCACCTCCAGCTGGTTGATCTCGGTATTGAGCTGACGCAGACCCAGAGCAGAGTACAAGCCTTTGTACTGGAGGTACTGATGTGGCTGCAGACGGGCCGTCACATTAGCCAACAGAGACTGGATGTGGGGCAGACGATCACTGGACAACTGCACCTGAGAGACATGTAAAATTATTATACCTATACTTTTTGTATTCTGAAGAAACAGCAGTGATTCAGTTGAAAGCATTTGCCAAAACTGTGCTTGGATGTTTAATTGAAAAATCTGCAACTTAAAATACATTAATAAATAAAAGGTTTGAGTGAGTTTTTTTTCTTTTTGTTTAAAGTACATTCCTCGATGCGGACTTTAAACACATACTGTATTTTATATTTTCTAATGAATAATAGTGAATAAATTGTTTAATAAGTGAAAAACAATTTGAGAAAGTGTAGATGAACATTTTTACTATGCTTGTATATATTTTGAGACTATCAGAATATTAGTATGTGTAAAAGTGTATTGAGGAAAACAAATGTCATGCTAATATTATCCTGGGCATTAAGCATGTTGGATGTGTGTAAACTTCTCAAACCAAAATCAGCACTCGTCCACACAGTGTGAATGGGTGTGTATGTCACCTGTTGGCTGAGGCTCTGCACTGAGTCCTCACAGGACTGGAGCTGCTGCTGGACGGTCTCGAACTGCTGCACAGGGAATGCCCACATCCCAGAGTCCACAGAGCACACACACGCATCCCCCTTCTTCACCCCCATCACACGCTCACCCCCCACCTGCAACACATTCACAACATACATGTTTAATATGGAACTACAACATCATTATTCATTTCAAGTGATGAGATTAGTGCAAAGCATATGAAAGTGATCACATAAAATAGAAAAGAAATAAGGTTTCAACTGATGTATAAGTGATGAATAATGTTTTTTTGCTCTTGTGATTAAAGAGTCGCATGCATTTTGAATATTAAAAGGTATTTCAGAAAATTTGTGATTGAATTTTAACATTATAATTTGTTTTATGTGCAGTTTTCTTTATATGACTTACCACTGGTGAGAGTAGTAGAAGCAGCAGTAGCATGGTGTCAGGAGTTGGACAAATGAAGTTCAACTCAAAAACAAGGCGTATTAATATTGCTGAGCTCCTCCTTCTCTTTCATAATGTGATTCACAGTGACATAGACCACTGGGACAGAAGACAATTGCATGTTAATGTGAAAGTCCCAAAATGTCTCAACTGTCACGTTCAACTCAGTTCCCTTTCCTCTTTTTTAAGTCTTATTCCTTTTGCAACATCAGCAGCTTTGTCCTCACAGTTTCTCCAAAATACTTCTCACATGCTGCACATTTATTGCGCAAATTATATAAGAAATTTAAATAAAGGGGAAATGTGCCAAATATCAGTTTCCTATAAATGTTTTTTGTAAGACTGTTTTATTTAATTCCTTAAATCTAAACATGGAAAATTGACATGGTGTAAAATTCTCTTCAGGTGCTACCATACCATATGCATACAGACTTGGACAAAATTGTTGGTACCCCACTGGCAATGAAAGAAGAATCAACAGTAATCACTGAAATAAGAAAAAACTAAATAATGAAACTGGCCTGGACAAAAATGATGGTACCCTTAAATTAATATCTTGTTGCACAACCTTTTGAGGCAAACTATGCAATAAAACGATTTCTGTAACTGTCAATAAGACTTTTGACCCACTTCTCATGAGCAAACTGCTCTAGTTGTTTTAGGTTTAAAGGGTTCCTTCTCCAGACAGCATCTTTCAGCTCCTTTCACAGATGTTCAAGAGAATTGAGATCTGGGCTCACAGACCGCTGCAGAACAGTCCAGTGTTTTGATCTAGCCATTCTTGGGTGTTTTTAACTGTGTGTTTTGGGTCATTATCCTGTTGGAAGTCCCATGACCTAAGACTGAGACCACGCATTCTGACACTAGGTTTCAAGTTATTTCAGCGACCATTGTTGATTTTTCTTTCATTACAAGAGGGGTACCAACAATTTTGTCCATGACTGTAGATAATTTAAAATACATACTGTGGAACATTAGCTAAAACACAAGCAGGTAGCAAACCCTCATAAGAAAAGTTACATAGTGCACCATAAAAGGACATGATAATAACAGTGTTCCATGATCATTACTCAGATTATAATGTGATTGATTTATGCAAATTTCTGTGTGGGATTCAGACTCTGGGTCATACATGTCACATAGCCACTTTTCAACAGGTAAAAACAAATAATTGAAAACCTTCCGCTTAATACAATGAAATACTACTCTAAGATGCTAAATGAACCTCATTGTATTCTACTCTGAGATGCTGTTTTGAGTCCTGCAGTGTTGAACAGGAAGACATTGTGTTAAATGGGCATTTTACAATTTACAATGAAGAAAATTTAAATAATTAAGCATGTTTTGTTGTAGTTTAATATTAATTACCTGAGAAGAAAAAAAAACTTTAATTTTTTTTAAAATAAAAAATATATTATCATATATTTAGTTTCTTAATAAATTTAGCTGACTGTTCATAACAAAAAGTACTTAATATTGTAAAACTAACCATAAGCATGGTGATCTGGTGTTTCCTTGGCGCTATATCAAAAACATGACCAACTGCAGTGACTTTTTTTTTGATCCACAGAAAGTCCCATGTTACAGAGTCTGGACCGCAGAAAGGAAGTGAGTTGCTTGATCAGAAACACCATTGTTAGTCATGACCATAAACCCCACCCTTTAAGATCAGCGCACTGTGGACATATACCTCTGAAGCATATGGAACTAAAAACACTGTCAGTGAGAATTGTCCTCGAATGCACCATGAAGTCGAGTCTGCTCCTGTCTTTATGTGCTCTCGTCACAGTGTCTCAACAGGTAGGATTTCGAGTTTAATTTAATTCTAAAAGTGAGCAGTAACAGGTAACATTATATATTTGAATCCCTTTTCCAAACTTCCCTGCACTAAAAATTACACTTGCAAATTTAAACATTGGTGTATATTTGTGTACTTTTTCATTTCAGTCACCAACTCGGGACACCTGTGAGTGTGAGCTATCCAACGCTCAGCCCTTTCCTTATGACAAACTGAACACAACCCAGAAAAGTGTGGCAGACTGTAACAACAATGTCAGTCCACAGAAGGTAATGTACTGTAAGTGTAAAAAAATTATGTTAAAGGAGCACTAAGTAACTTTTCTGGAAAATCTATGGAGACCCCACGCATAATAGAATGCAGGTTTTTCTAGGTGTCTTTAAACTTAGACAAACTTTATTGATCCACAAGGGAAATTATTTGGACACAGTAGTAGAATAATAAAGAGAAAAAATATATATAAATGGTAATAATAAATTCTAAATAAGTAGGCAAAGGAGAAATTCAGTTGGTCGACTGGACAAAAGTTGATTTGGTCAAATACATTTCACAGCTCATCCAGGCTGCTTCTTCAGTTCTGGTCAGAATGCTAGTGGAAACTTTCTTATATCTGTCTGCAGGGAGGAGCTAACTAACTACTTCGAAACAAACACACCTACTTGTTGAACAGTACTCGTACTTCAGTAAAGTTTTTAGCAATTTTACCTTTTGTTAAATTTTTTGCGGTGTGTATAAAACTCAAACTAACAACAAATGTAAAAAGCATTTCATTCATAAAACAGAACTGCAGTTTAGTTTGTAAACATATTTCATTGGTGTGTGCCTCTTCAGACGTTGGACCTGGAAAGTCTTCTGCTGGGTTTGGAGCGCCGCCTGCCCCAGCTGGAGGAGGACATGTCTGAGCTGGAGCAGGACGATGACGGAGGGGTCTACGGGGTCCTGGCTCTTCACGTCATCGAGAATGAACTTACTGAAATCAGACTGCTCATGGAGAGGCTCAATGTTACCACAGCGACCCACAGACAACAGGCCCAGATCACCACACAGCAGGTTGGGGTGGAGCGCGACTCAGAATCCCAGCAAGTGTAGAGATTTATATTTTCAGTAGACATCCTGAAGAAAACAATTTTCTATTTTAAATTGTAGAAGTAATAATAAAATCCATTTGAACTTTTGACAGAGTGCTACAGGAAGTATTGTGAGTCACATGCAGCAATGCATACTGATTTGGCATTGTTTTTATTCCCTACAAAATTTAAAACAAAGTAAAGAAATACTAGCAGGTTGTGTTAGGTTATAAAAATGGCAATCAGAAAATGGTATCATTTATTCTTTCAAGTGGAGTTACAAATGATCCTCAGGCGGTCAGTGAGAATTCTGTAATAACTGAAAGCACTGCCTACTGACTTCCTCTTGTCTCAGATCAGCGCCATCAGGGCTGAACTTCAGCAGCTGGAGGCCTACGACACTCTGCAGGTGGTCAAGAGAGACCAGACCAACCAGCGTCTCAAGAGGGACCTGGACCAATGCAGGAACAGGCAGCCCATAGCCCCGTCCACTTTGCCCCCTTACGGTAACGCCCACTTCTCCACTCCTTCCCTACACACACTGTAGAAAGGTGAACATTAGCTATTTTAGTTTAAAGAGGAAGGTGCTTGGGAGATCTGCAGTTTCACTTCAGGGTCATCCCATGGCCACTGAAAACTATTTCATATTCTCACCTTCTTCATACCACAGAGCACTCATAGCAAAGTTCAAACTGGAGACTGGTCATGTATTAAAAAATGTCAAATGTTTAACCAGCTAATTGTATTACATATGGATAGCCTCTCTCGAACCCAACTCTCAAGGAGTTCCAGAGTCCAGGCTGTGTGTGGAGTTAAGGCCCATGATATCTAGCTACTAAAGATCAACCTCCCGCACAAGCTCAGGGTCCTTCCCCCTCAGTGAGGTGACATTCCATGTCCCTAGAGCTAGTTTCTGTAGCCAGAGATCAGGTCGCCTGGCTCCAGGGTGGGGCCCGGTGACGCCAATCCAGGGAGCATAACTAGCCTTAATATTATACTAGTCATAGGGGCTTCTGAACCACTTTTCGTCTGACCCATCCGTGCCATGGGTGACCGTACTAGTGGCATGAAGCCCCAAACAACATAGCTCCCAGGATCACAAAACCTTTTTATTTTCACAGAACCTTTTATCAATCTTCAATCTCCTCTTCACCCACATTTTTTTGCAGGAGCGTGTCCACATGGGCGCTTCCAGAATGTGTCTGGACCACGGATTTTCACCGCAGGGGAGTATCCAGGGAGCTTCAAGTACGGAGCCTGGGGCCAAGACCCAAAGCCTGAGAAGGGGAAGGAGGACTGGTATTGGTATGTGCCACTGACTTCCAGCAACAGATTCGCCCATTACGTGCGCCAGTACTCCACCCTCAGCTCTCTGGTGGTGGGCATCAGCGTGCCTGGTGAGTGCAAGAAAGTCAGAACAAGTTAGGAGATTAAAGGGGCTGTGTTAGAGCAACTGTTTGGGTGTATATTTGCCTTCATTCTCTTTAGTGATAAGCTCTGGCACGCTTAAAGGGTACATAGTATGCTATTTTCTGATCTATGTTATAATGTTAGTTCCTAATCAAAAACATACCTGGAATTTTGCTTCATTCACATAAATGTTAGCACACAAACACTGCATATTTAGGCTGAGTTCTTCTCTTCTTCTTTTCTCTCACTGTGTTTTTAAATACCAAACACCTTCTCTAGAATCATTTTGATAATTTCCACCGTGCAATTGCCAATCTATACTGAAAAAAATTTAAAAGGTTGCTGACTGTTAACTTAAAAAAACTATCTTATCCTGACATCACAAGGTGGAAAAGAGCATTTTGAGCTTTGTAGCTGTAGACAGATTAAGAATAAAGGGTTACTTCATCATGTATGAATGAAACTTCAGGTATGTTTTTGAGGCGGTAATAACATTATGGCATGGCTTAATGCTCACAAGAGTTAATTTTGCATAATTGTATAAAGATATTATTTGCTATAGTAGACTTGCCCAGAAATGTACATGTACATAAAACCCTAATTGAGTAAAAGTAGTGTTAAATAGTGAGAGAAGAGAGAACTTTCCACAAGAGCACTGAACAAATAAACATGACTGTGTACATAATAAAGTCACTTTTTGAAGGTAAGAGGAGGTAAACAGGTGAATACTATCATGCTTTATTTCTTGCAGGTAATGTCATGATCCATGCATCCAACCCCACCACCAACACAGTGCAGGGGCCCAACGTGGTCATGTATGCAGGCGCGCTGTACTACAACTGCTACAACGTGGACTCAGTGTGTCGATTCAACCTCACCAGCAGAACTGTGACTACTCTGCAGCTGCCAAAAGGAACCAGGTACTCATACATTTGAATTGAAATCATCCATATGAAGAAAATCTATGATAGTTATAGCGATAATAACTGAGTAAGGCCTCAGCAACCTTTCATGAAATACAGTTAAAAGGATAAAATATCTTTTTTTGTTCATTTTGTTCTCCAAAGATGTGAGATAAAATTGAACTGAGAAACCAGGTCTGTAACTCTATTTTGGAAACAGGTCTTGTTTGTGAATACTTTTTCAAGACACCCATTTATCTTACATTTATTTAAAGTTCCTATATTATGCAAAAAAAACAAACAAACAAACAAAAACAAAAAAAACAGAGAAGGTTGTTGGTCATCCTTACACTGCGTTTCTCAGTCGCCTTTGTGTCTCAGTCAAAGGTCTCAGTACAGCCTAACAGAAAGACTGGCCAGGTAGGATCAGCAGATCTGTGTCAGGACAGTTTGAGGAAAGGAAGGGCCAAAAGTGCCCCTCAGTATCAACCAAATACAGGTAAAATAATTAACTTGTAGTATAATTTCTTGTTTCCAGGTTCAATTCTAAAAGTAACTTCTGCAGCCTGGATGAGTGTTTCCCATTCACAGACTTGGACTTGGCCACAGATGAGTCTGGGGTGTGGGTCATCTACACCACAAACCAGGACCATGGGAACCTGGTGTTGTCCCGAGTGGAGCATGGGCCAGAGGGGCTGCAGCTGGGGCAGACCTGGCGCACCTCGCTGTTCAAGCAGGCAACCACCAACACCTTTATGGCCTGTGGGGTGCTGTATGCCACACGCTCAGTCAGTAAAGAGACAGAGGAGATCTTCTACTCTTATGACACAGCCACAGGACAGGAGAAGTTCAATGTTGGTATCTTTTTCCAAAAGATGTTACCCAACATATATTCTCTGAACTACAGCCCAGTGGACCAGATGCTCCACTCATACGCCGATGCCAACATGGTGTCCTACAAAGTTGTTTTTGAATATTAAATAAGACTTAATATTTTGATTCTGCAATGCATTATCTTTAGCTTTAAAGTAGCATAGAACTGAACATTTTAGAAAAAACATCCTTTCTTACTCTGACTGAATTGCACCTCCACAAATCTGCCTCTTATTTGACCTGGAGGATGGACTCCTCCTGCTTGTTTCCATGTAAATGATATTAATTTGGCTAGAATCTTCCACCATATGGCATAACTCATCTTTCGCCATTGAGAATATCCTGACGTGTCACCTCCAGAAAGTTACATAATGTATCTTTTTTGTCTCATCTGCACTTTTATGTCACTTGTGCCCTCTAATGTTAACATGATTGATAAAAGGGTTAAAATGTTTAAATTTTTTACCCCAAAAATAAAGAAATCCTTTTTACTGTTAAAAGTGTTGTGCTGTGTTTAAACAAAAAAATCTCCCCATACTTCCTTTGTAGATGAATGAAAAGTGTTGTCGCACATGACTTTGACATAATGTCTTTATTAGTTACTACACAGACAGACAGTTACTATGTATTTATATAGAATATCTTTACAGTACACATTTGAATAACAACCAAGCAACTAAGTCCCTCTACTATTGTGAACAGAAGCAAGCTTTTAGGGAACACTCCCAAAATATGAAACGTCAACTTATTGCTCAATATAAATCAATCATAATGGCAGTAAGAATAGCAGTAGTGATAGCAGTAGTACACATAACCAATAGAAGTATATCAATATGAGGTTACACCCTACTGTTGCTATAAAAGTCCAAGAGGAGAGGAACATAAAGTGTACATCACAATACAGTAGTGTTCAGTTTGGGTGACCAACAAGTGCCAATAGGACGAGGTCTACAGATCTGGACTGATTCTGTGACAGGATTCTCGCTTGGAATAATGCTATTTTTACACCTTCAAGAAAGTTTCTTTTCTTGTAAAATCATCACTACAATACCAAAGGTGAATTGTTCATTTCTTTTCAATAGCCTAGTATTGCCTTTTTACAAGCATCCATTTAGATTTGATGCTATCTTTGTGAATGTACACTTGGGTTCATTCTTTCTTTCCACTTTAAAATTTAGATGTTTGTTGTCATGACCTGTGAAATGTGGTCATGGGGCAGTGGGTGACATGCCATTCAAAATGACAAAAAACATTGGTCCCTTTGCGGACCCCTATGAAACACTTATACAGGGGTTTACGTATAGGGTTTGGAATCAACTGTGACACATGGAAGTATTAAAAAGTATATGAACAAAAATATGTAATCACCTGTACTAAACAGTTATGTATTAGGGTAGAATATCCAAATATTGAGAGGCAAGGGGAGAAGTGCATACTGTGAGGTTGTTAATGAAGAGGTGAGGGTCCACAATACAGTACAGCACTTCAAATAGGGACAATACATTCAGGAGACCCCCGGCAGTTTTGCTTTAGTTTGAGGAAGAAATTGGCTTATTCAAAGTGGAGATGAATTATGAAATGACAGCAACTCAGTTATAAGTAATTATTATTGAAATAAAGAGCAGAGTAATCTAAAAATATGAAATAATCTCTCAAGCTACAACACATTCTTTTTTCCATAAACATTCAATTATCCTCTGTCAGAATCTCTCTCTCTCTTGTTTCATGAACCACATTTTTTCTATTCCGTGCTCTTTGGGGGCCCCTGGTGCAAACACACTAACATTGCAACAATATCACATTACAGACTAAGTAAACTAACAAAGTGACTTCAGCTGATAGCCCTTTAGGGTGTGACTAGGTTGGCCTGTGAGGACTGGGGCACCTTGTGATTTGTAAAAGGGAGGGGTATGCTTTTAAGGAGGTTGGGAGTTGCCCTACATTCCGAGCTTGGCGCCCAAATGGCTCCAAAAAAGCCCCAGTACTTACAGGCTACCTCAAAGATAGGAGCACACCTCAGCATTTGGAAGCTACGCCCCCTACTGGCAGGGGACAGAGGGTTTGTGAAAGTCAGTACAGGAAAATGGGCAACTTTGGTAAATAACGACTATACATTACTAAGCTCAAAATACAAGGGGACCCCAAATCAGAAGTTAGTCCAAGACAGCAGTACACAGCCAAACTAATCTAAAACTATGCATTTTCTACCAGTGACATAATGGATACACTGTATATCATAGCACATCCAAACAACAAAAGCAATTAAAGTGTCTAATTTGTCATTTCCTTAAAGCACCCAGCCCTCTCAATAGTAGCCCCCTTTTAGATCCTTCATGTTAACATTTACACATAAAATAGCAATAAACAATATAAGACAGCAAATCAAAAGGGACAATTCATGTGCAGGCTTTACACTAAACACTAAAGCTTAACAGCATAATTCAAGCATTTGTGCACATCTAACATTTGAACACACTCACACAATGAAACTTGCAGTATCATGCTTTCATTTAAGGATCGCTTGACTAGATAGACTAGCAAGGGGGCTATTGTGTGTGTGTGTGTGTTAGCTTTGGTACATCCATAGTCAAGGGGCTAGGTGCAGAAAAGAAAGGCCTGGGTTAAATATCTAGTACATACAATTACCACTGGGATCCTGGCTTGGCCCCTGGTCCAGTTATGTTTGGGTTGGCGCGTGATTGTCAAGTAAGAGATCACAAAGAACACACTGCTGAACCACATGCATGCACTGCAGCTACACATCAAAAACACCGCTTGTGACCATGGCTCTAGCTAGCATCTATTCACATTGAGAGTGCTAATAAGAACAACGCAGTATCCCCTGGTATTTACTGTTTCTTGTTTACACTCAGTTTCAGATTTTTTTACTCGAATGTGTGATTTTTGTTCTAGTTTTGGTTATTTGGAACATCATCTTATCACCAAAATCTCCAGTAAACGTACAAACAATAAATAGAGGAGACACCGTTGGGATGAGCAATACTCTACCAATAAATATCTAACACACAACACTGCCAAATGATCCTTTGCAGCTGGAGTCAACTTTCCCTGGGGGTGTAATGCTAACTGAAGGTACTGCTCAATCTGAAGCTCTGTGACTCCAATTGACTTCTAATCTGAGCTTTATTTTGACACAGACTGACCAGAAAGAGCTGACTTGGTTGAAAATACAATATGTAAAGGGCAGGACATAAAGTCACTTTCACCTTTTTGTTGAAAATCAAACACCTAAACAGGACCATGAATGCTTGTATTAATCGCAGGCTCCTGAATATTTGTTATTTAAATCAATTTTGTATTTTTTCTTGAGTTTTCATCTAACCCCAGCGTGATGTCCCTGCAAAGTATCAAGGCCCTACCAATATCTAACACACAACACTGCCAAAACTACTCATACTCATAGACTAAAATGGCCTAAGTTTATGCTCACGTCCACATGCATGTACACTACACTTACTCTAGCCTAACACATAGATGTAGTGGATTGTCTTCAGAATGCATGACACACCGCTTAAAGCTGCACTCAGCAATGCCTTTTATTACATTCCTCATTGGTTTGTGGCCGTACAGTGTTCATGTGCGGTGTTTTCCAAGAATTTAGTAAAAACTTTGCTTTTGTGCATGCTTTCTGTTAGTGAGTCTGATGCTACACCGGCTACTAGTCATTGTATTGTCATTAAATTCGATTGTCTTCCAGCGCAAAATTAGCTATACACAAGATAAAGAATTAATACTGACCATACTGCTTTCAAAGTCATAGTATAACATATTAAAAGGTCATCATATTTTAGGTTCTTAAAGTTGGTTCATAGTTAAATCTGTGAAACAATGTGTGATAATATAAAATCATTATTACTAAATTACACTTTTACGTAAAACCAAAAATATAACTAACAAAAAAACTCAATAGTGCAAAGGATTACTAGAACGCAAAACTTTACATTTGTTATATTTCACCAAGTGCAGCTTTAAATATGAGGTGAACTACTTATACTCTGGCACTAACAGCTAACACATCCTCTTAATACACTACAGATCTGGGCACTTGACTACGATAGGCTGTGCTCTGCTGTCAGTCAAAACCCGGACACACCCATTCACTTTTACTCACTAATCGTAAACAACAGAGAGAGAGAGAGAGAGAGATGTAGTCTGCTCAAAATACTGTCGTAGTGCCTGCTTAGTGCTAACCACCCATATCTCGTCACATTTAATAGTTATATTTGACATATGAGAAGAATTGACACTTTTAGAATTTTGGGGGGTGGGGAGTCGTGTCAAAGGGTGCAGGCAAAAACAATGAGGAAACACTCAGTAAACACAGGTATGACACTTCAAGAGTTAAAATATTAGCCTAGTTGTCAAGTGCTGGGTCACAAAGTTTTTCAGGGTCTGGAGGGGTTGTAGTATTAATACTTATGGTATCATACAGCGGGCAGGGGCCAGCGGGGCACATGACCAGATGAGAGGGAGATGAGTGAGAACAGACTGGACCTATGCAACGTTTACACTTCATTTTGTTCCCTCTTTTTTAATAATTACCACTGACAGCAAAAAGCAATGGACTAAAACCTGAATCAGTTGAGAGCTTCCTTACCATATCTGTTAGATAGAGTCACAATTTAGCATATTTGAACAGATTAGATGCACAAATAAAATGATTGGCGAATAGCTTTGAGGTTCTTATGTTACAAGCCAAAAAATTTACAAAAATAATATTAGATGGCGATTGGTAAGAAAAGGCATCAATGGCACTAAATCAAAGAGGAAACCACCTCCTGAAAATAATCTACTTTGGCTTTTTACTGTTACCCCACCTTTTTAATATACCCATAATTCCACAACTTGTTTGCTGCCTCTTGCACTAACTAACTCCTTTAGTTTATAAAGATTGCTCATGTCCAGCCCACTGCTTTTTGCTGTCACTGGGGACCACCCTCCGTCCCCCTCTGTTCCCCCTCCTCTGTCCTCCTTCGCTCTATGGCTGTACTGTCCCCTCAGCAGGACACCTCCATGGTTTGGGTGACCGCGCCCACCCCCTCAGTGCTGTCGGAGTGGGTGCAGGCCCGAGAACGAGCCCCCTCTGTGGAGCTGGCACTGGTCAGAGAGGCCGTCCTGGAGCGGGCCAGGCGGGTCATGCTGGCAGAGGGCACTGAAAAGACAATATAATGTTAGAGGCATATAAGAGTGAGAATTATACAGGCTCTTCTCATCCCATTGGTCTATACAGCCACATGTGGTCAGTTGCCTTCTGATTAAAACAGTTTCACATGGACTAGTGATACCATCGTTTCAAGGTTCACGATACAACTTTTTTTCCCCTGATTTAATATTATGTAAAAATATCATAGAGGTTCATATTGTCACTTTCACAACAAATATAAAAATAAATGAAGTTTAAAATCATTTTTGAGTTTGTTTTGGGTTAAAAATACTTCAATTTCTGATTTTATAATGCTGTGAGTCTGCTACTGGCCAGTGACCATGTGTGGATAGATGGGACTGAGAAGAGGCTCATAGGGGGGACATGGGGAGGTCATGCTGAGAGACCCTTCTGAGCAGCTGGTGAGAAAAGGTGGCTGTCTACAACTAAACAAGTGGATAAAGCTGTTAATGATTCTGCACATTAACAGCTCCATGCAATGGTCAGGCTCAGGGTCCAGTTCAGTGTTACACAAAAAAAACTGATGCAGAGAATGTGCTAAATATCTGAGCACTATTATAACTTACCAGCTGGTTCTAGTTGTTTTACTATTAAGGGTAAACAAGCACAATCTAATGCGCTATGCAGACAATACAATAACTTTTGACTTCTGGGAGTATTTCAGATATGGTTACATATTGCCATATGTTTTAGACCAGATGCCATTCCCGACACTAGTCTTTCTATTTAAACAGGCTTGGTACGGTCACAGAGGGTAACCAGACTTGTGACCACTTGCTTGTATTGTTAAATATATAATTACACCATGTAGTAAAAAGTGTTTCGTAAAAACTGGCTTGTGATTAAAATCATATCATAGCTCTCATTAACAAGGCGTTGCTTTGAGCTAGCTGAGTGCCATGCAAAGAGAAACATTTCAGATGCAATGGCAACATGGAGGGATGGGGGAAAGAGGAGCAGGTTAACTATTTTTCCACTGGAGGAAAAATCACTCAAAACAAAGATGGGAGTTGTATGTCCTTAAGGGCAAAGGAAGAAATAAACAAAAAGGCTTAAGATGACGGCAAAACAGTTCAAATCAGCCCAAACATTATAGTCATCACAAAATCATCCATAAATCAATTTTAAAATGCCAATGCTACGGAGGAGGGCAGTAATAATAGGTCAGAGGTGAACAGGGAGGAGGCAGTACCTGGCCCTCCACTCAACCTCCGATCCTTCACATAAGCGACTGAGAAACAGGGCAAGGAGACAGAGGGTCAGTTAAAAAACCCTCTGAGACAATTCTATGAGCACTTTGTATAAACAACTAGATACTTACTGTAGCCCATTCCCTGAAGGAAGTACTTGAAGGCTTCAGTCAGCTTTGCAGGCTGCAAAAATAGTTGAGCATATGGTTAAGATAAACGAATTAGTTAGTTCTATTGTAGTGATCCTTTTAAAGTGAAATCTGACATCTATAAAAATTACACAACAACAAATTCACATTTTTTTATATCAAATATTGCTGAATAACAAGAGTGTGCTATTCTGTACTATCCGATGTTTAAGTAAAATGCTGTGTAAAGGTTACCTGTGTGATCTGAGGGAGTCCACCAGAGTCAGCCATCTGTTAAACAAGAAAACTACATCTTTATCTTGTGCAGTGGAACACCATATGAATGCATGTGTTTCAAAGTAGACTTTAAAAAAGTGTGCCTCTAGACTATTAGTGATGTGTCATTAGCTCATTATATTCATGTTGTGTCATTACTGCTTCAAAATCAGGTGAGAGTTTTACCTTAAGGAAAGTGGTGTTGGTGGGGTCCAGTTTGGAGTTACACTCAACCTGAGAAACAAAGGGATCATGCTGAGGCTGGAACTATGGCGCATTATAAATGAAACTGTCTGTGTTTGATATAGTGGGGACTGGCAGAGTGCATGTATGTGAATGACCCAGTTACTGCAGAGTGCTGCAGAGATGAGTCACCGCTGCAGAGCACACCGACGTGTGCACACACATGTGTAAACAAACACACATACACATGTTAACACAGACGCACACACATGTGAACACACACACAGTAGTGTGGATTTAAGGTTTAATCCATCAGACACAGTGTCAACAGTGTGAACCATGTTTAAAAAGACATAAGCTATTTACTAATAAATTTCACTCAATTGCCTAAAATTAACCAAAAATATCATGAATAAGATACTCTCTATGTTGTGTATGTGTGTATGTGTGTTCAATATACAAATGTCCAAAATACTGCACTTGATTCTGTTGGTTTTTCTGCATATTTTATAGTATTAGCTGGTAACATGACCATGGTCTGGATGATGGTTTTTACACTATGGCCACATCCACTGTATGAAATATTTAAATAAGGAATACATTATATGCATTAGAGATGTAGGGCACTGTTTGACATTATCATTAAAAATGAAGTAGTATCTACTTTTATATACTACTATATACTGTACTACATTCTATAAAGGTCTCATAATCTAAATATAGAGTGACTATAACCACATACTTAGTGCACTTGCATGGACACAGGGTTTAACTCTATGGGGATATAATGAACACAGCCTGATACTAAAGCTAGAATATTTAAATGTGCATGATCACAAGAAAAAAAAAAAGATGTTATTTGATAATTGCAAAATGTCTTTAGAAGTTTAATCAATATAATTTATGTTCCACAGCTCCTATAGACGCATGATTGGAAAGCCTCTTTTTATCTCGTATTGGTCTAAAATTGAAACATCCAGTTGATATATACATTTATATATTCCTAATTTTGTACGGTCAGTAAACAAGTTGGGTGATGGGTAATTCTGTTTAGCATTTCAAGTGGAGCACTAAATCACTAAATGGCATTGCAGTGGCCTTACTCACATTGGAGCATGAATTATCTATATGACCTGTATCTGTCTCTTCCAATAGAACTACTTTTGTTTACAGCTCACACTTCCTCTGTCACATTTGGAGGAGTTACACTGCTTCGAGGCCGTCCTGCTCCAGACCTCCCTCCATTGCATCCCTCCATCTCCCTGCGGTCGTACCACAGCAGTGATTTGATTTAGTGTCATACATGCGGCAAGATGAAGTGGTGCAGAAGCGTTCATATCTGGGCCACTTTTAACAGGAAACCCCAGAGACAGAACAGAACAAGGCCATCTGGACCCACACGCATGGACACACAGATAGACACACAGACAGACAGACAGATGGGGAGGCTGGAGGACTGGGGCCATAGGGATCAGCAAAAGCAACAAATATTATCTCTGCAGCCTGACCCATTTTTTGTTTTGTTTTGTTTTGAAATTAAATCACTCTGGGGAAAAAAGACCTAAGACCACATGGTAATACTTATGAAATGACATGTTTTTGTCTAAAAATAAAGGAGATTATAGTGTCCCATTTTGTGTTATTTTCTGATCTATGTTATAATGTTGCTTCCTTATCAAATCATACCTGGTGTTGTGTTTTATTTCATTCACATTCATGTTTAACACACAAATCCTGTATATTAAGGCTGTGTTTTTCTCTCAAACTGAAAACACTCTGTTCCAAATGTGTTTTTAAACTCCACCATCACTAGAATCAGTCCTGGATTTGCTGAATTTAAGCTACATTTATATTTAAATATTTATTTAATCTTTGTTATTTCTTTCGTTGATCAATAACGTTTGCCTAAGTCTAAGTAAAAGGTACCACATCATGACATCACAAGGTGGAGCAGGGCATTTTGAGGTTTTGATGCAGACAGACTAATAAACCAGGATTTATCAAACATGTGAATGAAACAAAACACAATTTCAGATTTGTATTTAATAAGTTAACAACATTCTGATCTGACTAAAACCTCGCAAGAGTAAATTTTGAGCAATATTAGTAGCAACCAAACTGTTGTCCAGTATCAAACATTTTCTTTTATAATAATGACTATCATTATAATCCTACATAAACATACAGTATAAATAGAGTTCTTTTCTGTTTGATCAAGCTTCAAAGTGGCACTAAGCGTAAGTGCATGCCAACATAATGAGCGAGCACATGGAGGAAGAAGAGGATAAAGCAGGAGCGAGGGTGAGGCTATTTTGGGCTGATGTAATACAAAAAAACAAAACTGGGTCAAGTAAAAAAGAGAGATAAGAACAAAGTATTCTCACCACTCCTTCCTCAGCAGGAGCATTATCTCCCACTACCAGCATCACCGGACACCTACAACACAGAAGCACACTCAGCTTATAGTCACTTTCACTATAACAAAATATAAAATGTATTGTGCTAAGGGATTGCTAAAAATATAATTTGGATCAGTGATTGAATCGTTTATGCAAAGTATTATATTTCTGACGCCATAATAATTTAGTTCATAACTAAATAACATTACTTTTTTACTTTTGGAAAAATAAAACAAGCTTTATAAAAGAAATGATAATTTTATGATTATTATTTATGTTCTGATCTGTTTATATTGTGATTTCTGATGTCTTTCTTATTCTGGAAAGCACTCTGAATTACTTCCCTTGCTTTAGAGAATAAAAAAATAAATGAAATATAAAATTATTTTATTCATAGTGAGTCATCCTTTAAGTCACTGTCATTTATTGTCATAAGCCCAGAGCTAATTTTGTTAAATAAAATGAATCTTGTCTTTTTAATGAAGAATAGAAACTGCTGACTCACATCTGTGCCCAAAAAGCATTAAATTAAATCAGCACATAGATTTCAAAATATTACAATACAGAATAGCAACATGGTCATTATGGTTGTGTTTTTATTTTTGAATGTTACATGTGAAGTGCTGGGTAACAAAATCCTATATTTTTTACTGGGTTATGTTGTGGTGCAATGAAATGTACCAAGACTTGCTGTGTCGATCTCTTTTTCTAATGTTTAACAATAATAATAATAATGCATCAGTTTTATATAGCGCTTTTTTGGACACTCAAAGACGCTTTACAGTTTAAGTACTATGTCAAAGTTTTATTTTATATCTAAAACAATAACTGAAACACAAAACAGACTGGCAGTGTATTCTGACTTACTTCAGAGTCTTGGCATTGAGAGCACTACGATTCATGTCCAGGTCCCTCCGGCTGCAATCAAAGCATTAAATTAGATATTTAGTTAGTATTAAATATGTAGTTTAAAGGTGCACTATGTAACTTCAGGGCATTAAGCACATGTCACTTTCATTTGTTCAATTGTAGCTCAAAAATACACAAGATATTGTGAAGTGTGAGCTACTATGTCCAACGAATTTCCCTTGTGGATCAATAAAGTTTGCATTCTGATTCCATTATGATTACCAAGCTTATTTCCATATTGTGCAATAATTAAGGCAAAACAGTAATATCTCCATAGAGACAAACAGGAGGCGGACTCTCCTCCAGAAAAGTTACACAGTGCACCTTAAAATTTTCTACTATTAAGAATTCAGATCCGTAATGTTGGTGAGCTACATACAAATTGCTGCAATAATGTATCAACCAGGCAAGCAAGAACTTACCAGGGGGTGCTTGGATTTATTTAAGGTTTAAAGACAAAGTGCAATTAAATCATATTTGAAAATAAAATGTCCTTGGTAATAAATTTTATACCCTCAAGAATGTTTTTGGAAATCAGTATAATAAATCTTGTCTGATACAGGGTCTTTGTTTACCAAGAGCATGTGATCTACTGCATCACCTGTTGTACATGTTCCAGAAGAGATGCAGGTTGAACTGGTTGATGTTGTTGTTGATTTGTTGTCTGTAGCTCTGCACCAGCTCTGTGTTGCTCACAAGCTCCTCCTGTAACATATAGTTTGAAGATAGTTTCAATGTCCCATATATGAAAGGGCTCCATGATTTCGAGATAAAAAAAAAAGAAAAAGAAATTGCAGATTTCTCTTGCAATTGGAATTAGATTTGCAAGATATAGGATTCTTTTCAGAGTTCACATAACAACTCCAGGAGCATTAACATGAGAGAGATAATATAAATATTCCATGAGTTTAAGAACATGTTTGGAGAGGTCTTTGATAACAAGACAGAATATTTTGTCCGTTGTAAAGGACATTATATCATCTTAATTATTGTAGCCATTTTCATTTCATAACCTCAGCAACTAAAATGAAAACAAAAAACAAAACAAAAAAACAATAATGTAACCCTGTGTACCTGGCTGAACAGATGTGGCAGCACTGTGTCAGGCAGTGAGCTGGTCAGACCGGACAGCTGCACGAGAAGAAGAGAAGTCATTATAAAAGCACTAACAAAAAGGTTAACAGATAGTAACTTGTTTGACTTTACTTTGGAGGCAGCCCAATCGATCCAGCCTTTGCCATTAGGGTCAATGTTGAGCAGAACCAACCCCTCGACCAGATCAGGGAAAATCAGCTGAAAAAATATCAGATCACATTAAATTACTCATACAGAAACAGTAAGTTTCATATTCTGGTATATGATATACTGGTAGTTAGATAATAAAACACTTACAGCAAATTTGGCCAGGACATAGGCTCCAGCTCCAACTCCAATCCCCACAATGCTTTTAAATCTGGTCAAATGCATGAAGAAATAAATATACATAAACTACGACTAAAAAGTGAATTTTTAAGGTGATCGAATTAAGTGGTGAGGTGCTGTATTGAGCATTACTGGTCTTATGTTGAAATACAACATTTTTAAAGGGCCCATATTATGTTCTGTGGTAACGTTATCACGTCATCACAAACATAACAGGAGTTGTGTTTTGTTTCATTCATACATGTTTACAACGCAAACCCTACATATTTAGGCTGAGTTCTTCTCTCAAATAGAAAACACTCCATTCTACCTTGTGATGTCATGTGGTAATACAGGAAGTACTCCATGCACCTTCACTAGAATCATTTGGATAATTCCAGTCATAAAATAGCTGTTCACTTGAAAACTACAGCTTCATAACATCACAAGGTAGAACAAAGCATTCTGAGCTTTGGAAATGTAGACAGACTATTAATAAAAGGTTACGCAAACATGTGTTAATGAAACAAAACAAAACTCCAGGTATGCTTTTGATGAGGTAACATTATAAGATCACAAGATTCAATTTGTGTAATATAGGACCTTTAATATCTTTAAACCTTTCTTGATTGTTCATTAAATGTGAAATACTCACCCAAAGTGCTGGACTACAGTGGGCAGCATTCCAGCCAGTTGGTCCATGGTGGGATATTGGTACCTATGGAGAGGCAGAATCACATATATTTACTGACCCATAAGTATACATGTTTGTTAGACTGGATGTGTTGCCCTTGTGATGTCAGCATATATGTTCATTAGATTGTAGGTGTAAATATATATGTTTATTAGAGTGAATCTGTTACCCCTGTGGAAACTGGGACGCTCCGACCTGCTGCCCGGGGGCGTCCACGTGGCACACCACGAAGTGCTTGGTGATCTCCTGCATGTCCTCATTGTTGAAGAAGGCATTGAAGCACAGTTTGTCTGTGGGAAATAGAAGGACAGAGGGATTTCAAACAGAGGGCAGTTCAGGTGAGAGGAGCAAAAGAGAGAGGGAGAGAAGAAGAGAAAGAGTGAGACACAGGAAGAGATAAAGAGAGAAAGAAAATAAGAGTGGACAGATCCGATGACATTCAGTGAACCTCACAGAGTGACAGAAGAGGCCATCTGTGCATCTGACTCTGAGCCAAAAAGTACCATGGATTAACATGAGAGGGACAGTTTGTATGCCATTGAACACAAGACGCCTCTTAATGCAGGACAAATACTGCTAGAGATAGTTGACCTTAGGACAATCAATGCTCTATTAGTAATATAAATAGTAATTGTAATATAAAGAATTGTGCAAACATTTTCTAAAATGTCTGTGTAATCCCTCAGTTGTCTGGGTAGGATACATAGCTAAAGGATACATACTAAAAAAATCTATTCTGTCAACTGGACAAAACTTTTTTGAGTGAAAACATGTTGCAGCTCCTCCAAGCGGCTTCTTCAGTTCTGGTCAAATTGCCGGTGGACACTGCCTCCAGACAGAGCTGAATTTTTCTTTTGCTATTTTCTTCTTTTTTATCTGCTAAAACATAAATGGCTAAATCTTCTCTGACAAATAATAATATCTTTTATCTATTGAAGTGCACCTATAACAGTGCTCTTGCACCTATAATAGTCCTCTAACCAAATACGTGCAGTCTGTTTTCATTTAGAAGACAGTTTGTTTTTAGCACCACTTTATGGAGCTGCACTAGAGCTTCATGTATAAAAGATGTGCTCTCACTGCTGTGGCCCTGGCCTACTTTCACTCATGTGTGTGCTGGAGCCAGACCATGCAGCCGCTCTGTTTTCATTCTCAGGGTCAAGCCCATGGTGCTAATTTAACGGAACAATTGCCATGACAACTGGGTTAGGGATGAGGAGCAGGAATGCAACAGCTTCATAACCAAAATACACAAGTCACACTAGGACTAGAAACCAGTTTAGAGTATATTCTCCTCATATTTTATCTTAAGCTGATCACACAATATTTGAGCAGTCATCATATTTGACTGAATTAAAGAAATAATGTAATGTGTAAAAGAAAAGAAAAAATATATATAAATAGAGTTTTACTTTTTATCTTATAAGTGCTAAATAAATTAATAAAATAAATACAAAAATAAATAGTATCCAGTGTTAGATAGTATATAGAACATACTCTAACAACCTAAGTGAAGAAAATGTATAGTCTGTGTTTGTGTTTGTCTAATGTTCATTTATTAGACAAAAACTTCAGCTCTGAATATTACATATATTAGTAACCGTTTAATCTGTTTAATTATCATACTTACACCTCCATCTTAAAATAACCCAACTGTCAAATGCAACCCACTTTCTCCTGGGCTAATGCTGACTCATCCCTAAGCCTCTTCCAGCATCAGGCTCACTGACCTCCTTTCACTTCTGCCACACTTTTTAAACTCCCAACTGCTTCCACCATCACACTTTTATTTAAGAATGAAATGGCTGGCCATATGTCGCGCACAAGCTCTGTTATGTATCCTCTCTTTACTTCCTGGGGCTGTCTGCATGCTACAGTGAGAACGCTTGGTGACCAGTCTAGCATACTAATAATCTTCTTAGTATGATGCTCTTTTAGCTGCAGTAAGCACAGTAATATCACCATACAGAGCACTACATACTAAATAAACACATTAGGCACAAATAGGCATGATTTTTTGTTTGTTTGTTTGTAGGGGTTTAGATCTTAAGCTCAAACTGTAAGGGCTGCATAAGAAGACAGCAATATTCTCATTCTACTATAACAGCTTAATACAATAACTCTGTAAATAGATGCATAAGCCAGTGTGCTTTCTATCATTACTTTTATTTTGCAGGGCTTACAGTATAGTGGTTCAGATCTTATGCACACACTGTAAGGGTTGGATATGAAAACAGTAATATTTTCATTCTACATCTTAATACAATAACTGTCAAAAGATGTATTACCTGATCTGCTTTCTACTATTACCTATTATTTTCAAAGGCTTATAGTGGTTCAGATCTGATGCACAAACTGTAGTGCATGCTCTGGTCCATGTTGATGCAGCGCTGCAGTGGCCCCTCCCTCCCCCAAGCGCTCGGCTGGGATGTTTTTTGACCTACATTTTCACTACATCACAGACTCTTTAACTCGGTCTGTTCTATTTTAGGCACTAAATATGACATAGTAACATACCCCTACTCTCTGTATCCCCTTTCTGTCATATAGCCTGTATTGTTTAGTTGGTGCAGTATTTCCATCTCACCTACACGCCAATAGCAGCCATTTTATCAGCCCTTCTTTGTTGGATAAATCACCACTCATTATGAGGTGGGGCGAGGCCTGTCTTGATAAAAACTATATTGACGTATTGCTCAATAAATACAGACATATGGACAGACGGGAGGGTACTGTTTTGGGGTAAATATTTATCGTGGGTACAATCTCCTTGCACCAGTGGGAAAAAAACATTGGTTATTGTTCTATACTACAATGAGATTTGAGGTGTACAGAGTTTAATTATGAACTTCAATTTCTCGTTATCATACAAATGATCTAGTATTATGTTGTATTTGTATGTATTTATTGCAGTTTGTGTTTTTTACAATATTATACATTAAGAATACTTTTTAGGGATGCTAGTTCTCTATGGTTTGGCTTCAATATTATTGTTTATCGTGTATATTGACCCATCACGACAGGCCTAGATGGTGCCCAAACCATGTCGCAGGGCCTCAATTAGATACAATATATTCCTTCTCCAATTTGGGTTTCAAGAATTTAATGAACATACATGCATCATTATACTGTTAATTTGTTGGGGACTGTGCATGTTAATGAACATAATTGCTATACACTACCAGTCAAAAGTTTGGACACACTTTTTCATTTATTTTTCTTCTTTATTTCCTTGATTATTTACATTGTAGATTCTCATTAAAGTCATCAAAATGATGAACAAACACATAATTTTTAAAAATTGTCTTGACCGTGTCTTGACTTCATTAAGAAGCTCATCAAAAATCTGACCGGTAGTGAACATGCTGTTAACACGCTGGACTATAGCCCAGAGACAACTTCTGTCCGTTGTCCCACAGTCGCTCTGACAAACACAGTGTCATTCATACACCAGTGTACATGTACATGTATATAAGAACAGTATATATATTTTCAACAGTCAACACTGTTCAGACTTTGAAACATACAATGATTTTAAAAGAACTTGTGTGCTGGTCTATTTTGAGGTCTCTTACATAACCACACACCTGTTTCACACTTGATGGTTGGATGTGCTGTAAAAGCGTGTAAAAGTGAAGTTGTGCGTGTTTGTTTTAATTTACAGTTCCACATGGGTGACATGGCCTCCTGTTTGAGATGTGAATAAGGCAGTAGATGACGTGGTGCTCATTATCGCCTCTGGTAAAAGCACAAAAACACCTTGTACAGACACATGTGTCAGAGGCGCCTCAGACTCACGGTTCAGTCCCACGTCGTGGTAGGTGAGGATGGCAGGCTTGTTCCCTTTGGGCGCCCCGCGGATAACCACATGTAGCATCCCATAAGGGGTCTCCACATCGTGTTCCTGTAATACAAAACAAACAGTTCCTTAACTCACTGGGGACAGTGTCACAAAGGGTTTTGTAACAGTAAATGGACCAGAACCCTCCCACGACATCAACCGGTCCCCTGCTGTGCAGACAAAAGGTGGCCTCAAGTATTTATGGAGATGATTTGAGATAAAAGGATGGGAGTAGGAGGTATAATGACACCTTATTACAAAATGTCCTGGTTGTATTTTACATTGAAGGGTAACACCATTAGACAGATATTGTTTGAATAAGCACATTGATTTTTCACCACTAAAGCCTCAGGACTTCAACAAGTCAATTACTAAATGTATTACTGTACATGTTGTTTGAGGTCATAGGACTGGTGTCCAATAGTAAGTATTTTACTTTGTGTTCTTACCCCTATCCCTATGTACTGACTTAAAACATAACTTTATGTAACTAGGAAAGTTAAAACCAAGAAGCAATTCAGTGAAATAAATAATGAAATATAATTTGATATTTTCTGCATTGTTCTTGTGTATACAAGCCCTTTGTAAATGTATTTATCTGGACATGAAGATGTGAGCTGCTCTCTATAAATAAACCTAAAGCAAATAGTAAGACAATCCCTGCCTATGTATATAGTACAGTGTTGTTCTGCTGACCCACATTTTGTCAGCACACTGTGGCCAAAGCTGCACTCAAAATGGAGGTGTGTGAGTGGAGAGCGCTGGGATTAAAACATGCTCCGGAGCCTTTGTTGACATGATTAATGCTGACAGACAGTCTATTGCTCTAAAAGCAAATAGACAAACCCCATAGACACACATGTCATTGATTTGTTTTGTTGACCTTTTTACACTGCTTCATAGATCTTTCAGTGTTAATGAATAATGGAACTGAAAATATAATGCATTCTCATTATCTTATCCATTTATTGTCTGAAAAACAACTATTATTTATCGCTGAAAAAACAAAACAAACATTTGCAACCTAATTAAATACCTCACATTAAATATGCATTTGTTTGCCTATGCAAGGAAACAGCTCTGGTTCTCTTTTATACAAAATAATCACAATATAAAATTTAAAAGATAACGATTCTTTGCAGAAATGTTAAGCATGCAGCAAATGTAGTGAGGAGATAAACTGTGGTCCACCTGCCTCTGCTCATCTCCACTGCAGCATCTTATCAGTGTAACAGTATACCATTACCATAGGCTTATAATAGAATCAGCCACTGCCAAGTGCACAAACCCCCACTCACTGCAAACAAAGACACAACGCACCAAAGCAATGAGTTAATCCACTCTAATCTGGTATTTCTGCTCCAACATCAGTCCAATCAGTCTAACAGCCAGTTACAACAGCTTTGGCCACTATTTGTAAAGTGATGACCTTCAAAACTGCAATAATGAACCCAAAGCACGCTAATTCACACATTTGGAGGCTCCTCTTTTCTAATGGATGCTTGCAAATCAAGTTCAATCTGAAAATTACATCTGCGTACCATTGTTGCATGCACATCTTGGCATATCTGTGCACCAGGTAGTCAAAATGGATGACAGCGTACTTTAAGCTTCCTGTTCCCACCAGCGCACAAGCCCACATGCACAGTGATCTGCAGCAGAGGGAGCATCTGTGTATTGCTCAGCATCCATAGTGTTGAAGTGTGTCAGTGGGGCAGTCGCACAGTGACCCTCTATCCCACTTGGACTGCACCTTATATGTGTATGACCAATATACTTCAGGTAAAACACTATGACAACGTAAAACAAGCATGAGTAAATAGATGTTATTCTAAAGATGTGCTAGAATTCAAAACAATAATTCTTTTTAGGGTCTACGTTCAGTAATTGCATTGGTATACACAACTACACTGTGACGCATGTCCTATGTACACTACACTACACTACAAATTCTACTCTTGTTTAAGTATTAAAATCAATAAAATAAATGGGACAGTGGGACTACCTGCATTGAAAAAAGACCAAAAGAATTTAATTGCACAACCTGCATTGAAACACCAACAATTAACTTCAAATTCTATTAATTTTGGCTCACACCTAATGCCATGAAACAGGACAGATCAAAGCATCCATTTGAGCAGCCTATGCAAAGGTTCGCATCAAAAGTGCAGTTTGCCCAGACAATGCCAGCAGCACTCACCCCGTCCCAGCACTCGGGCATGTTTTCAGCAAGCGGACTGAGGGGAGGTGAGGATTCGGGAGCAGATGTACGGCGAGTGGTAGCCAGGCCTCTCTCCGGTCTGTGGTGACTAGGTCCTGGGGTACTACTCGCAGCAGAGCAGAGAGGATGCTGCTACTGTGCCTTTGTCTGTCTGCCCGTGCACGCCTGCTGCTTATCAAGGCACAGATATCCCCCCTCCCTCCAGCCCCTGAAGGAAACAAGACACACTATTGGCTGACGGTGAAGCCTCCCCCGCATCTGATTGGACGATGATGGTGTCAGTCTGGAGGCAGTCGATAGCAGCTCTCATCAGCACCACTCTAACCTTGTTGTACTCCTGCTGTTGACTTAATCAGGCCACACTACTGTCACAAAAACAAACAAAACTAGCACAAGCTTTTTAGGTATTTTTAGGCCACTTAGGCCACACATCTTCAAAATTATCTTTTTATCTAATAACATTTGTATTCCATATTTTGGTATTTTCAGTCTTCAGGACTTTATCTTGTATGAAAATAATGTTACAAGTTATATTGTGTGAACAGAATCAACAAGGTCTTATCAGTCTAGTTTTTGCTACTATTACTTTTGCTAATAACATATTCAGAGTTTTATAAGAGTTACTTTTTCATGTTCGAGCTACATGTCCAAGTCACAGAGCGAACAGAAAATTTAGTTGGACTTGTATAAATATATATTTTTTTAATCTGATGACAATATGATCTTGATTAAAATTCCAACCCAGATGTCCAATATTCTTTGCGCCTATATACCTCAGTTGCATCTTGTACATAGACTGTATAATGGACACCTGTTAGGCAATGCGATTAAAATAGGAAGTGACCACAGGCATGCTTCCGGCTCCATCCAACTCCAATTGACTTTACATTGAAAAATTGTCACCCCTCTCTCTGTAACCACTGTAGTGAGCCCTTTGAGTGTGCGAGTGTAGTGAGTCATTTTGGTATTAAAATTTTCAGTTTGGTCACATTTTTCTATAGCGCTTTTCCACCTTCAAGGCACTCAAAGCGCTGTACAACAAGGAACCACTCACCCATTCATACACCAGTGTACGAAGACACTGTGGGCAAGGTGGGTTAAGTGTCTTGCCCAAGGACACAACAACAGCATTCATCTGTGGGAGCTGGAATCACACCAGCCAACTTGTGGGTCAGTGGATCTGACCACTCAACCTGTGATGTTTTTTTTTCTTCTTTTTTTTATGTCAAGAGCTGTAATCGAACCGCCAACCTTCAGATCAGTGGGCGAATGCTCTACCAACTGAGCTACTGCCACCCTATATGATCTTGATGTTTTTATTTTGCTATTTTTTCCATAAATAAATTCCTATTTCAATATGGAACTGGCTCCAAATTAGCCCCTATAACTCCAGCTCCATTTCACTGGATCTGAAGACTGTGGGTGACATCACACTCCCTTTGGCTACGTTTATATGATGACGGTCTGAAAAAAAGACGCAAAAGTGGTGCAGCATGTTCACTTTTTCTTCCGTGTTTAGACAAGCGTTTTGGTGAGGAAATCTGTGCGCATACGGTGACGCAAAAGTGTGTGGAATTCAATTGGGTATGCATGCCAGGTGTCTGTGTATCGTATGTATGTGACATAAACGCGTACGTGACCTGAGCAGATCTGACCAAAGTTTTGCATCTTGGGCAGTGCAGATGGAAATGCTACGGCACAGTGTATTCAACTTTTCCTCTCTGGCGGGTGGTTTCAGATTTTTGTGTTTTTAAGGCTCACTGTCTAAAAGAAAGGCACTTCTGATAAAATATTTTTGTTGTTTTTACCTGCAAGCATTCTCGTGTAAACAGTGTAAAACGTGTAAAAAATCTATTCTTTTTAAACCAACCACAAGGAGTGACAATGTAATGCACTTTTTGGTCTATATCTGTCTGGACAAATAACCAAACTTGGGACATATGTTAGTAAGCCATTCAAAATACAATGTTAGGAGGCTCTTTCATTGTATATATAGTTTAGATTAAAAAATCAATACGCTGAATAAAAAATACATTTTGGAGCTATGTGACAGTGATGGGTATTGAGTGAGGATAGATAAGCTTGACAGTAATTGCAGGATTGATGTTTGATTAATGCAAATAAGAGCTGATAGATATATTTTCATATGTCCATAACTATGATGCGAAGGATTGCAGGAGGCCGTGTACGTGCAGGCTCAGTGCGGTGTGATGGAGCCAGCGTGCAGACAGCAGAGCTCTCTCTCTCTCTCTCTCTCTCTTTCTCTACAGCGGGCGAGCTTTTGTTCTCTCTTTTGGGCCTTTTCCCTATCTCTATCCTCTCTTCCTGTTGACTCAATATAGTGACTCTACCTAAAGCCTGCTATGCTGCTGCGGCCTCTTCACTGCTAACTTTCTCCTCTGTGTAGATTAGCTCTCAACAGCTGACAGAGCAAAACCAGCTCATCTTTAAACACACAGTCTGCATGTGAGGGGAGTACGACCAGTGTCACAGCAGACAGGCCTATAGGAGTACGAAGAAATCTATAATAAAATCCATAATCCGATATGTGCAAGAGAATCTATTGATACTTCGCAGCAGATGTCATCAACATTCCCTGGGAGTGTGACGCTAACTGAAAGCACTGCTCTGTTAGAAGCTCTGTTACTTAAATTACACGTAATCTGAGTTTTACAAGCGCTGACTATAACAGATGAGATGATTTTTCCTGTTAAACAAGTCTTTCACAAATAAAATTACAATCACAAGCTAGATAGTGTTAGCCAGCAGTGAGAATAATTTTCATTTTCACTTTTTTGTTGAAAATCAAACACCTAAACAGGACCATGACCACTCATACTGATCATCATAGGCTCCTGAAAATGTGTTGTTTAAATCCATTTTGTATTTCTTGTTGAGTTTTCAGACAATCATATGTTTTTTTTTTGACAGTGCTTGCTAATGTCACCATGGAAACTGCTGAAAATTCTACCAACAGAAATGCATTATAGAACACCCCTAGCATGATGTCAAAGTATCAATAGCAAAATGAACTGTAGTGCATCAAGGCAGAAGATAACAAAATGTAATTAGTTATTGTTGTGTGATTATATAAAGGATTCAAATACAGTGTAAAGGGTCAATGTTAAACACAGCTCTCGAGACAAATCACACAGCAGCGCAAACTGACTTTCAGTGAGAAGCTGTCGTCACAAAGTTTGTCTAGTCAGACTGATGACTGATTCATGTTACAGCCTAAAACTGCTTTGTATTTAATGTAACATTATGATGTTTTAGGTTAAGGGAAAACACTTTTTTGGTTAGTTTGATTTCTTAACATACTGTATAAGCTTTCATGAGGAAACAAAAAAAAAACAACTGTCCAGTCTGCGCCTGCATCCATAGAGTTATATTTATCTCCAGAGGCAAAATAAATAACATAAGGATCACCCTTTAAAGCAACACCTAGAGACACTAAGCTTTACAATATTTGACTTACTTTACAAGATTTGACACAATGTATAGAAGGATTTTTAAAAATCTAATTCCAAGTCTGATTTATTTTTAAGTTATTTTTTCTAATATGTCATATGTTTATATTTTATTATATTGTTTATATATAGACATTTAGACCTGACTCTTTCCATGCTTCTCTTTTGAAAGTCCCCAAAACTGTCAATTTGGACTATTTATTATTATTATATTATTCATCTTTTTCCTATTCACCTGCAGTGTTTCACCTTAGGTTAGGTGATTTTATTTGTCATTTAAGAAATTCATGCGCTTAAGCAGGTGATCCGCTATGATGCGGATGGGGCAATTATTGGGTCGAAATTGATCCTGTTACTCTGTAATAATCTGTAATCTAAACTGCAGATGCAACCTGGAATTTCAAAACGACCACATGATTCTATCAAGTATCTACAACACCTCTTGTTAAGCATATAAGCAAAATGTTAAAAAGACTATTTAGAATGGAAATGCATGTTGCTTGTGAAATTCGGTCTTTTCCTCTCTAATGAAGATTATCTATCATCGAATCATCGAATTTTTTTACTTTAGTTACTTACTTTAGTTTAATAACAATTAGTATTGCTTTTTAATACTTCTTCTCAAATATTTAGGATGGAATGACCCATACATGATTTAATATTATGGGCAGTTGAATAATAATTACACATTTTAATTAGTGTCACTTGGCTAATAACAATTAAGGCTCTCTGTAATTGCCGACTTGTGGAGGATGGAGTTTGTCCCATGACACTTAGGTGTGATAGAAGGAGCAAACCTCAAGCAATGATCACATAATCACTGGCAAACAATCCCTTTCACACATCTATTCCCTGTGGATATGGACACATGTGCTCCTCCTATTGGCCTAAGGAGGGTGTCAGACTCAACCTATTTAAAAAGCACAAGTGGTAGTGGCAAGAGTCCTATTTGCTCTAAAAACTATAAAGCGTAACATACTGTATGGAGCTCAACAGTGATCGTCCACTTCTCGGTTCTGGAACTAAATTTTCTATTTTTCTAAAAGACTTTCCAAAATAAATGTAAATGTATAAAAATGTATATTAAAATCAGCTATGTGGTAACTAATGACCACAAAACCAATAATTGTATTTAAAATCTATTTCTGAAACTTTATAAACCATAAAGTTATTAAAACATTTTGCAGAATCTTGTGTTGTATATGTCCTTTTTGAACTTAAAACAACTGCATTATGGATATTAGATAGCACATAGCTGGTTCCAATTTTTCTGAAAAGTTTATGGGGCAAATTAATGGTAAATTCACTTCCAGAACAGGAACAGGCAGTCACTGTTGAGCTCCATAGTACTTTTACCTCATTGTGGTTTGACGTTTAGTGTGCTCTGGTAATCTTTGCTATGTTTCTTTGTGACTGACATTTAAACTAAATAATTTCTATTCAACTGGAGTCAATAGTCTTCAAAGACATTTCAGACAGCTCCTGCTCCAGTTACACTTTAATCTCCACACTTGATTACACCATGATGATAGTTCAGCTCAACACTATTTTAAGAAATGGAACAGTGAACTGTAAGAATGTAACGGGGGTTAAAAAACACACATTCAAGTAAAACATTTATAACCAGTAAATGGTGTCAAGGTGACTAACCCTAAACTTTAAAACAAAATGATATATATGTTGTCACTACATCGGGAAAACAAAACTAAACTGAAATACCAACTGCACTGCACCGAGGAAATAATCTTATACTAAGATGTAATTTTTACTTACAGTTCAGCAAAAGTAATTATCATAGACATTTTGATCCATAACCAAGCCAATAAATGGTCTGCTGGTGTATTACCTTTCAGGATGTACTACCTCTTCTTAATATCACATTAGAAAGATACACAATGTGCTCATAAAAACACCTCCACAGCAAACACTCCGTATTATCCTCATATGAGCTGCAGATTACACTGTTTACAGAAGTTTATGGAGCTAATAAATGACAAGAAGTAAAGACAAAACAGAGTGATAAGAAACCTTACCTTCCAGTCTCCAGGCGGCATCAGCTGCTCACAAGGCTCCTGCTGAGGCAGAGGACAACATTAAAACTGAGATTACAGAGGAATATTCTTATAAATGTCACAAGTTAAAGAGTGCCTCCACTGCTGCAGAACACACCCAAACACAGACTGGGTAAAGACACACAGATTTCCACGAGCATCAGTAAAATAGTTGCTATATATATAGGCTTAGAAATGTACTGTATGTGGGTAACCCTTTGTGTCACTGTATTTTTCAGCTTCTCCCTGATATACTCCTAGAAGTTTACCTTCCAGTCATAATCATAATGGTCAGTGGACAAGCGCTGATGATGAAGTGTCTTGCCCAGGGACACAACAACAGAGTATGAACTGTCCATCTACTCAATGCTTTGTAGACATATAATGTATTGCACCAGTGTTGATAATAATTTGTGAAAGTATGTCTGTGGAAATCTGAGTGTCTCCAGCAGTGAGGCGATGGTTTACACGACGAATGGACAACAGCACCACAGTGAGACCTCCTTTTATTTAGAAGAGTCACGTGCACATAAAGAAACAGAGCATTGAGAGGAGAAAGTGGTGATCCAGTATCACAGAGCAACAGTGGACAGAGCAGAAGACCAGCTGCCTTCAGAGGGACTGCTGGACCAGCACACTTGTTTATGTGGGCACAAAGACTGGAAACAGCTCAGTGTTGATGCTACTGTCTGTCTCTCTCCCTCTGCTGTGTTTTATCATAGAAGAGAAATGATAAAACACAGCTCAGAGACAAAAGGAATATTTTTGTTCTAGGAATATTCTTTTTTGCTTGTTATGATGAAAACGCATGTGCCGAAACACACTGGTACTTAGTGGCAATAAAGCTTTTCTGGTTCTGGGTTTACAGTAATCATGTTATCATTATTATATAATTAAATTAATGCTATGATTTTGTTCATTTTGTATAAGATGCAGTCATCTGGTCACTGAATCATTAATGTATACCTTGTGTCCACCAGGTGGAACTATTAACTTTATCGTAATGTTATTGCCCTACTGCCTGATTTTCCTATTCACATAATACTGAGGTGTAAATAATCTACAAAGCCTTCCATATGCATCAGGACCTGGCCTGTACAGCCTAAAACAGCTGCTGTGCCTCCAGGCTCCTTTGCAGAGCATCAACATGGCTTTAGTTAAAATGAGGACATGCAGATGTGGTAAGAATAGCTCCAACTTTACAGATGTTGTACACAGAGTTTTAAACATGCACAAATGTGTCATGGTTCACATGGGGATACTGCAAGAAATGTGACAGGATTAGATTAAGATTAAGAATGAAGGAAAAGTCAGACACAAGTAAGAGTGAAGCACAGGACCAGACAGACTAGACTGACAGCACAGAGACAAACACATACAGACAGACCAATGGCATGGCCAGGGGTGGGGCGCAGTCACTGCTTTACTGAATAATATTTGTATATTTTCAATAACTGACAGTTCATGGACAGGTTAAATACTTTATAGTATTTATAGTTTCTATACACTATTGTTGTGTATGTTGTGTCAAGAATTCAATGTTTGGTCAATCATACGTGGGCGTATATGGTAAGTATATGCAAAACAACATTTGATTGAGTCCCACCCCTGGTAGTGAGTAGTGGCAAAAGCTATAGCGATAACTGAAGCTGCCTACTGTGTAACTAACAGTATATGATATGAACAGCATTAATTTATTATTATTCAAACTTATTTCCTTTGTGCTAACAGAAGTAAAGGGGCAAATTCTGCTGGAGCATTCATGCACAAGGCTCATATTGTGGATACAGGGTCAGAGTAGCTATGGACTGGTCGGACCAGCAGGTGGCACTCTTATCCTTATTTTCCCAGCCGATGTGGGGCAGTGGTGCAACTCTTTGTCAGAGGCTCAGAGAGGCATGGAAGCGGCACAGATCCAGAGAAGTGCAGGTGATCCGTGTGGTGTCAAAAATGTGGTCTGTCTCTGCCCTCAGTGCACAGAGCGATTCATCTCCATGTATCAAGCTGTGTTTGAAGTCTGTGCCTGTGTCTTGGGACTCTCTTAGTGAGCACATATTTGTCCCAGATTTAAGGCTTTTGTGCTGAAAGGCAGAAAAAACATCTGCTCTCAGCTGAACTAATGTGGTCCTGGAGGATCAGAAAGTTGATTAAGCCTGAGCTTGTGGACGCTTGATTGGACAGGAAGTCTCCGGATTTGAGTTTCCTGTAACCACAGTGTACTCAGGGAGTTGCAGATGAACTTTTTGAATGTCCTTTTATCATCTTTATCCTGAGAGCCACGAACAGTGCATCACACAGTATAATGGCAATGGTTAAAGGCTTGATAACACGACATTGTCTTTTTGCAACTAAAACTGATGTAGTACCAGGGTTACTAAGATGGTCAGATCTAAAAGGTAGGAGCTACGTGTTATCACGTTAATCCATGTTAACTACAGTATGGGGTTTGGCGAGGAGTGCACACAGTGTCACCATAGAGAATAATGTAGAAAGGGTTAGTACTGTTAGTGAAGCGCTGGTTTCTGTAGTTACCGGGGCGGGCCCGCTGGTCCGACGGCGGGTCTGGCGGAGCCAGTGCCGTGCGAAGGCATGCCAGCGGTGAGTGGGGCGGCTGGGGGGAGGGGGGTTAAGGGGCGCAGGGCTGGGGTGCGCTTGGGCCCCCGATGCATCCTCTCCTTTTTCTGTCTGAACGTGGAACATGAAGCACAAGGCGGTTATTGGGAACAGAGCGGTAACACAAAGCAACACACAGCAACATAGACTCACACACATGAGTTCTGTTTTGAAATCAGCCCATCAGCTCTGTCACAAGCTGGGTTTGGTTGCAAAGGAAGGCTGGAAATTGTTACACAAGGCCTTTAATATGAGCACAAGCAATCAGTATTGTAGCCTTCTACAATATTGTAGAAGAGAAACGCATATTAGGGCTGCAACTAACTTTTTATTATTATTATTATTTTTTTTTTTTTTTTTTTCCATAAAAAAGTTTTATTATTTTACATATAGTACTTTTACTCAGCAAATGTGTTAAGGTATATTCCTGAAACAATAATTATGAAATTAGTAATTGATTATTTCCGTAACAGTACAGTCAGAAATCATTTGATTAATCGTCACAACCCTAATGTGCATGGTCTCAGCTTGTGTCTCACAAATATCCACACATCAAAACAAAGCTACTCATAGTCCATTCATTCATAAAATCATTCTATTTGTAAATAATGGCTGCAAGCTGATGCATCTCTAGAAGTAGAACCTTTGCCCGTGTCAACCAGAGTTTCTACTGACATGTAAACCTATGGAATTTGTCCACCTCGAGTCTCAGTGGTGCAGATATGATGCAGCAGGGGACACTGAGACAGAAGCATGATGGGTACAGGGTGTCTTTACAGTACAGTGACTCAGCACCAGCATAATGTCTGAAGGTCAAGGCCATCTGACAAAGCAAAGCATAGTTAATGTCTCCTAAAGGATCACTGTTTTGAATCTGAAGATGATTAATAATGTGAATCTGACCTATATCAACCCAGTGGACACACTGGCCTAGATGGATAGCATTACATAGACTTAACATACTACATAGAAGGACATAGTGGCAGCTCTCCAAAATGGAAATAGCTTCTATCAGTCAGACTTGTTTACATGACTTAGTTCAACAATTGTTTAATAGATCTCTTCTCCAACAGGCTCCTACAGCTGAATCATCGCACTGTTTCTCCTGTTTGACCTCTTGTATATAGCCCAGATACATTTACTACATATTTCTATATTTTTATTGATCTTGTACATATACATTATGCTTTATGTAACACCAGACTCTTGCTATTTTGCTACTTATTATTTATTACCATTTAACATTTTTTACTCTTTGTTATTATAATATATTGTGATGTGTGGGCTACTGTGTCTAAATAATTTCTGTTTTGGATCAATAAAGTTTAAGTCTATAAATCCTTCTCCTATTTAAAATGTTTTACAATCACAAGTTAAACAATGGCAGTAATTATTTTAACACCATCCTACACATTAATTATTTAGATAACCACTTTTGCTAGGCATCCACAACAGAACAGGGTTACACTTGTCTCACTTGAGTATGTATTATGCATGTGCTAATGTTAAATCCTCCACAACTCCTGTGTTGTCCTGGTCTGAACTGGCTGCAGCTTAGACAGCTCCGCAGAGTTACCCTGACTCAGCCTGTCGTCATGGTGCCAAGAGCTGATCACTCGCCGCACTTTAAGGTCACTGACATGGAGGTCAGACATTCTGATCAATTCAAGACAAAATATATCATAAAGTATTCAAGAGCACTATAGGACTTAAGAATTCTAGGATGTTTTTCATTTTTGTCACTACTAGTCAAAAGTTTGGACACATCATCTGAATCAACATTTTAAATACATAGAGAAGACATCAGATATAAGAAGTAAGGTAAACTAAATTATGTAGCAAAGACAAAAGGTAAATAAGTCTACTTTTTTTGTTTTGTTTTAGATCAAATCCTCAAAGTAGGCAGCCTTTGATTTGTCGAAAACAAAGCAAAAGGAGACAACTTTGAGGATTTGAATATAAAATATTTTTTAAAAATGTAGAGTTATAACATTTTTTTTTTCCTTTACTAGCATTAGCTTTGGCTGCAATCCTGCATATTTACAAGTACGTGTTTATTTTCTTTTGCATTATCTTGTCTTTTAATATGACTTGTCCCTTTAATGAATAAATACAAATACTTCATATATTTGATGTCTTCTTTATGTATATGACATGTAAAAAGAACTAAAAATAAAGAAAAATTAGGGATCAAATGAAGGGGGTCTGTCCAAACTTTTGACTGTTAGTGTATGTAACTGAATAAATAGATGTGTGGGGATTGGTCCAAATTATTATGAAAAAAAGACTAGTGTCTGTTTTTAATGTCTATAAGTTTTGCTTGATAATTTTATAAAAATTAGTCAGAAATATATAGTTCATTCTGCTTATAACTATGCCATTCATCATGTCTACCCTTGGAGATGAACTGGGACATTAGCGTGTAAGTGCAATGTTACACTAAAATAATTTTCTATTTTGGAACAGTCTGTAAAGTCTGCAAAGACAAGACCAAAAAAAGAGTACCTGAAGGTCTGTTTAAAATCTTGTTTTGTGGCTGGCCTATATTGCTGTTTTTGGCATAAATTATTTCTATCTTTAGTTTAGTATGTCTCAGTTAGAATCATAGACTGTATAAAGAAGTGGACTAAGTGAGTGTGACGTCAGCCATAGCGTTCAGTCAAATGAAACTCACAAGGTTATAGGAGCGAATTTGGAGCCAGTTTCCTATTAGGAATATCAATTTATTAATGGACAAAATGCTAAATAAAAACACCGGGATCATCCAGAGTGGGTTAATACGAACATTTTCAGGCTACGTTTATATGATGGCAGTCTGAACAGAAGACGCAAAAGTGGAGTCGTGTCTTCACTTTTTATTTCACGTTTAGACGAGCTTTTTCAGGAGGAAATCTGAGTGCATACGGTGACACAAAAGTGTGTGGAATTCGATTGGGTATGCATGCGAGGCAGCATTCACTTAAAGCAACAAGGGCATCTTTGGACATACGGAAGTTTTCACGCCACGCATCCAGAATTTGAGGTACTTGCAAACCTTTCTCTGTTCACTAATAGTATCTATGCATATTCTGTACATTTGTTGGGACATTTGTTTCTGTGAACTGTAAGTATGTGATGTAAACGCGTACGCGATGTGAGCAGATCTGTGTTTTGTGTATTGTTCTGTGTAGACAGAAACGCTGCGGCGGAGCATATTCAACTTTTCCACTCTGGAGGGTGGTTTCATATTTTAGCGAAAGGCACTTCCGATAAAATATTTTGTCATTTTTACCCTCAAGCATTCTCGTGTAAACAGGCCCTAAGACCAACATGACAAGGCTCACTGCAGCACTTACAGAGAGGGGTGATAATTTTCCAATGCAAAGTCATTTGGAAGCAGAGTCGATGGAAGCACCTCCATTACCACTTCCTATCTGGAACGTGGTGGCTAACGGGTTAGTGATGTCCATTTATATACAGTCTATGTTTACAATATGCTAAAATTTTATTATATTAAACAAAATTTAATATCATCCAGTGAACATTTGAATCACACACCGATCTATGCCCTACCATTAACACTGTTCCAGACCATTCATCTTTCATATCACGCCTCAGCCTTATAATAAACCCTCTGAATGAACTGCTGAAATGTTGCGGTCTATAATGTAATGTTCTTCAGTGGTAAATTGTGCTTTCCCATCATGCCCCTGGCTTGTCTCCAGCGTTTCCATCGCTACAGTGCTGAGGGCCCCTGATTCAGACACAACCTGTTGCTTAGGTACTACTGAGACTGGAACAAGTGGCCTTTATGTAACCACCCACAGCTCTCTTCTGCTCTCCACTCTCCTCCACTGCACTCTCTCTCTACTTAAGTGTTTTAGCACAGGATCGAGAGGATAAAGTTTACCCTGTAAATAAACAAACAGCAATCAACAGCCAAGCATGTTTTACACAAATAACTCCTTCATTAAATTGAATTGATGATTGTTTAAAGGTGCACTAGGTAACTCTTTGGTTGGGGGTCACCTGCTTGATTCTGTGGAAATGTCATTGCTCTGCCTGGAATATTCCACACTATGACATTAAACATCTCTACCTTACATTTAGTAAATTAGAGCTGGTTTTATAGTTCAAAAATACCTAGAAAAATAGGCATAGGCATTCTTGGCAGGGTTGCCTCTACTCAGATCTGTACCTGTAACTTGGTCTTGTTTGGTCTCCATGAAGATAGGAAGGTTTAATATCAGACTGTGAAATATTCCAGACAAAGAAATAACACCTCCACCAGAAAAGTTACACAATGCACCTTTAAATGTTTACAAATTGGTCCCTTTCATCAATTTATCCGATATCTGAAACTAAGTGTATTGCACAAATACAGTGTTCAATCTACAATGTACTTTACGAGCTGACACTAGGCACGCGATATTACAGATGCTGGGAACGTGTTTATGGGCAGTATAGTTTATGTCTACATTGATTTCCACTTGAACCTCAACTTAATAAGGTCAGATTCTAATAAAAGAGTACAATATATTAGGCCCCAGCTGGCTATACTATGGTAGACAGGTCGACTCTTGAACCAGGCTCTGGGCGTCTGGAAAAGCTCTATATTATTATTAAAGTTCCTATATTACACATTGACTCTTGTGAGCTTTAAGTCGTGTTATAATGTTGTTACCTCCTCAAAAACATACGTGAAGTTGTGATTTATTACATTCACACATTCTCATTCACAAGATTTGTGTGTTAAACATGTGTGAATGAAACAAAACACAACTCAGGTATGTTTGTGATGAGCAAAAAACATTATAACATAGATGTGACAATAGTGTAATATGGGCCCTTTAATATTATTTACTGCAATGTAGCAATCAGATCTTACCACCAGGTCCTGACTGATAAATTTAGTTTGTGAGAATTGTCACTATGTCCTTCAAGTATTTTCAAAAACAGAAGAGAAAAAATTGGTCCATGAAAAAAAAAACAACTTTTTAATGAATGGGATGTGGGCAGTCCAAAAATACACCGCCATCATAACAGATTTTTTTTGCACGTAGTTGAAAGTCTTTTGAATGTGTGTGTGAATCACCACTTCACAATGTCAGAGTGCCAAATCCTGTACTTTAAGGAGAACTACTGTAAAGCGTTCATCAAAGGATCAGTGGTGTGTAGCTCTGATGAAATAATTATTAAATTGATACACCATTTGTTAGCACCATGACAAGTTAATGAAAAAATTATAAAAACACAAATGGTTAAAACTGAAAACCCTGAAAAATTAAAAGTGAATCTCATATTACATATTCTGTATGCACTGGGATCATTGTTATTCTACTAATTATCATCAAAGGTTTTGATACTGTTAGGTTTAATAATTATTTCTACTATGTGATATACTATAATAGCAGATTTTAAGAATATGCATATTTTATGAGATTCACTTTTCATTGGAACTTAATAACATCATATACATTGAACTGAAATTATTGTAAATAAAATTATATTGTAATTACATTTCACCCAAATGGAGACACCCTGGAGCTGTAAAATTGTGAACATTCCACCTAGAAGCAAATAACACTGGACATTTATCCGATAATACACAAATTAAACCTCAGTTTGTGTCTGTGGATGGAGAAACCGAAGTGTTCCGTGATCTCTTGACACATGTGACCTTAACAGAGCAGAGTGCACTGACCATGTCCGAGTCGGCTCCTCTCTGCTCAGGCAGCAGAGGCTTCTCCTCCGTGAACTGCTGCTCCTTCCCCGCCATCCTGGACACCAACCTGCAATCACCATGGCAACACACATCAGTATTCACCCCTTTAGTCAGTGCATCATCACATTTTTATGTTTCTGCAAATGGACTGTTTATCATTGTCCTGAGGTGGTAGAATAAACAAAAAACAGGAAGTACCGCAATGTGACTCCATATTTGGGCAAGAACACATCTAGTCTTAATCAAAAAGAAAAAAAGAAAAAGAGAGAGAAAGAGATCATAGACAAGGAGAGGGCGGACACTATACCATCTGTCACAGTAGGAGTGTCTTCATGGGCCAAAAACATGTAGGCGTGTGTTGATTATTAGATTTGACTCCAGCATCACGTCATTCAGTCTAAATTATTATATTAAATTAGCTAAACTAATGAATAATTTATGAATGGACTTCAGTGATGGTAAAACCTTGAAAAATAAGCCTGGTGAGAATTACTGTAGTAGGAATGAAAACAATGTATGTTTTCTAGTACATTTTGCATCGCCTCGAGAGTAACAGGAAAAAAACATGACATTATGCTCGCTGACAAGATGAATAATACTGATAATACAGTGGTTGGAATAATTGGAATTAATGAACTAATGGAGTAACCTGGTTGCATTGTATAATTTTTGTGTCCTGTTTATTTTTTTTAAATATAGACCGAATAATATGTGTCTGAAATAAAGAATTAATAAAAATAAATAAAATATACTAAGTAACTGACAAACACAAGGAAAAGTATGTGGGCAAGGACTCATTTGTGATGAATGGGAAACCTGTTAATAGCATCACTAGTGATCCAACAATGAACAACAAAAATGCGGAAAGGAAAGGTGTGTAATACAACTGTAGCTCAAATTTCCACATCTAGAAAACACAATGCATCTCCATGGGTTTTATTTTGATCTGAATATTTGTTTTTTTATTCTGCTGCTTTTCTGGTAGAGTTGAAGAAATGCCTAGTGACACACACTACTGGAGCATGGAGCAGAACCACAGCCTTGGCCAAGCCCAAGACAAAAGAGCAAAGATACCCCGCTAAAGTGTAATTAAAGTGGACTGCTGAGCTGGAGAGCCGCTCTGGGACTGTGTCAGTGACAGAGACACCCTCACAGCCCAGCACAAGAAATACAGCACGTAATCTCATCCTAAATGAAACTGTTAGACAAAAGCATTTTGAGAATAGGATTACCTGGATATTCTTATGTCCAAGAGGGTTTGCTATTTCTAAACAATTATCAGAGTTAATTTAGTTTCTGTGGTTAGAATTATGTCTGTGATCATTTATGTCTTTGTTGTCTATTAATTCTTCATTACATTCAACACTGTTTTTGTGAATGGCATGTCTGAATTCTGCACTCTGACTTCAAGGAGAGACGTGGAGCTGGGTGTGTCTCTGTTCCATATGGTACAACATGTACTAAAGGACTGGAGATCTTTCTTTGGTTTTAAAATTGTCTCTCTTCTCCCCTAGTGCATGAGCTAGTATGATGAATAGTCACATTAGTTTTTTTTTGTTTTTTTTGTCAGTTAATAGAAATCACATTCTCCCATAATGTACTTTTAAATATTTAAACATTTGCTTGGACAACTTTGGTATTTCACTGAAAAAATACAATTCAATTAAAGGTGCGCTCTCTAACTTTCTGGTGAATGGTCCACCATCATCACACCAATAACCTTCATATATTATTGCTTTGTCTGGAATGTCCCACAGTAAGGCATAAAGTTATTTATCTCCATGGAGACCAGCTGGATACAGATCTGTGAAGAGACACGCCCGCTTACATTAAGAGTACATGTTTTAATAGAAATCTTTGAGTGACAAAAGACCTGTAATTGAATAAATGCATCATAGATAGAGACAGTTGGCGCACCATCCACCTGAAAAGTTATACAGTGCATCTTTAAAGGTGCACTTTGTAACATTTCTAGTGGAGGGTCTGCCAACTGCTTGTCTCCATGGAAATGTTACTGTTTTGTCTAGAACTTAAAATCTATCATGAGGGAGACAAGCAGGTTACAGCACATCATTATATTACAATTCAGATCTGTGGAGAGTCGCCACAATTCACAGATAGAAGGAAAATTAGATTAATAAGATAATTAAAATGATCTGATTAAAATGAGATAAGAAGGAATTATTGTATGTTCGAGCAATAGAAACACCTGTAATGAGTAAATGCTAGCTGGATATGTTTTATAAGTCATACCATAGAACATTCCAGGCAAAGCAATAACACCTTTAAGTTAACAAGTATGCTTTATCTATGCCTTGTCAGTCAGTGTACTATCAGTTCATTCATTGCACAACACGATGAGGTTGCAAGTACCCTAAATCCACCAGACGGTTTTTATTTTTTAGATTTTTAGGATGTAGAATTTATGAGGAAAGATGAACTAAACTATGCAGATGTTTTGACGAGGCTTTGATTGGCATTTTCTTTTTTTAATGTCAGGGAGCTGCAAACTTATAATGATAATGGTGAAGGAACTGGCCCTAAATCAGAGAAAGGGTCCTCATTTTCTACAGTCTGTCAGACAGTCTCCCTCTACACTTTTCATGATGGAAATGTTTTCTTGGAGTTTGACACTTGCTTTAGGCAAGAATCAGAACAAAAACTTCAGAAGACATCATCATTTTCTGACAAAAAGGATACAACAGCAGCACCCAGCTCTCTTCACTACCATTCAGTGAAAGGAATAAAACATGTATCCCAATTTAACCTCTGCTATCACTTGGTAAATTATTATTTTTCAGAAACTATTGAACACCATAAATACACATTAGTGAATCTTTAGACACCTTATTTCATTTATGCACTCTACAGCTGAAAGAAAAAAAATCGATACCCAGGTATAGCAAACAAATTTTGTTTTCGCTGAAGAAAATATAGAAGACAACAAAAATATTAAAATGTGTGAAGAATCCCTCAGTCGTCCAGGTAGAATCCATGGCGAGGAGAAAATTCAGTTTGTCGACTGGACAAAAGTTAGTTTGGTTGAAGACATTTCGCAGCTCATCCAAGCTGCTTCTTCAGTTAGCAGCTTGGATGAGCTGCGAAACGTCTTCAACCAAACTAACTTTTGTCCAGTCGACAAACTGAATTTTCTCCTCGCCAAAAATATTGAAAGTAAATTATACCACTGATACAATAATAAAGCAAGATTATCCATGTTAACTAATTTTACATATAGTATAGTTAAAATAGATGAACTGCAACAAATAAATAGCAGAATTATGTCTGTGTAATCCCTCAGTCATCCAGGTCTGATCTATAATAAAAACTAAGTCTATTGAACTGAACTAAGTGTGAAATGTGAAGTCATATTAGCATAATCATTCAAGCCACTAATGGGTGCTTTCACACCTCTGAGCACACAGGCTATCACTATTGTATTCTTTGTATTCTTTGTTTTGATTCAGGTCTGAGGATGAAGTTGTAAATAGGAGGTAACAAAAATGGCCTCTTTAACTCCCCTCTCAAACCATTTCTTTCCTCTGGCTAAGATCTGTACCTCACTATCCTCAAAGGAGTGGTTTGTGGCTTTGAGATGGAGATGCACAGTAGACTGCGGTCCCACGATGCTCTACCCATTTGTGGTGGTACATTCTCGTATCAAGTGGCTGTTGTGTTTCTCCAATATAACCCTCACTGCAGGCTTCACTTCACTGAATGGACTAGACCACATTGCTTTGTTTTTGGCTCAGGGTTTTGTCCTTTTACTTTTCCTTTTGTTATAGCGGAATTAACCAAAAAGTAGTCACAGACAATTATTATTTATTCAACCCTCTAATCCCTAAAATCTTACATTACTACATAAAAATAAGAGAAACTTCCCCATTATTGCAAAAAAAATTATCCACCATAACACTGACCCCCAAAATATATTATAGTCTTTCAGGGGGCATTGCCAAGAAAGTCAATCTAAACAAGGTTGCTTTAAAACAGTGGCAGATGCTGCTCTCGTGCCTCTGTCATCCCCAATCAACAAACATTCCAACACTCCAACCTAAACATTCCTCTCATGTGAGTTTAAGAAACACAGCTGTGGTGAAGTCATTCTGCATTACATTACACTGGGTACATTTGTCTGTCTCACCACTCTGTGCCCACACTCACTGCACTATTAAGGAACGGTTTTGGATGCCGCATTTTATAGTTTATAGGACAGGTTTACCTTTTCAGAGGCATTATTTTTCTATCATCCTTGATATTTAACTTGAAACAGTCACCTTCAAGGCAGCACTTACACATTCATACACCAGTGTATGCAGAAAATGAGGGTGAGATGGGTAGAATGTCTTGCCCAAAGACACAACAGCTTCATCTGTGGGAGCTGGAATCACAACGCCAACCAACCTGTGGGTCTGACTGCTCTACCAGTGATGTTTTATGTCGAGAGCGGAATTGAACCATCAGACCAAAGGACAAACACTTTATCGAACCAAGCTACTGCCTTTACATGTAACTTTTCAGATAAGTTACATACAAAGGTAAGTTTCTGATAAGCCACATTATCTCCATGGAAATGTTTTTGCTTTGCCTGTAATGTTCCACAGAATGGCATTAAACATGAAAAATAAAAATGTCGTACTGTGTGGAACATTCCAGGTATTGCAATAACATTTAAACAGTATTTGTTCTAAATTAATAATGTCAAACTGAAAAAAACAAAATGACACAAATCAATTTCCGAAGTGTAAATAAAAACTATATCTTCACAACAATTGATTTTGTTGAGATCTCTGTCTACCCCATTCATCTCCACTGTCTTTCCTTTTCACACATCATGTCTCTGAGCACTGCGGATAACGTTGGCCTGTCTCGATTCTTAATGACAGCCAGCGGTAGTTAAACACATTGCATCTGACTAGAGCATCACAGGTCCCATCTGATGAAGGCAAAGGGTGGGCTGCACCTATAAATAGTCCATGAGGCAGACAGCCGGGGCCGTTTGATCGTCTCTGTGTTGATCGAATGCTTGCACTAAGTTAATCACTCTGTGCATGTGTAACCACGCAC